GTATTGCTGGGTTGTAGCTAAGCCCCGGTGATCCAAGATGGCGCCGTATTCAAATTAATGGTGCTCAGTGGCGCTTTGTGCCGGCACGGTCGCTGACATATTAGCGGACCTCGCCTGGAACTCGCAAAGATCCATACGAAACTTGCCTGTATTTGGGCATCGTCTGGTCTTCCTGGTTCTGCGCAGTGGATGAACTCCCATGATGCATTGCGCCAAATACGCGTGTGGCTGTCATGCACGTGCACAGAGAGGCTCGGCCGCCCTCTGACCAATCAGCACTAAAGTGTAGATTTAAAGAAAACCGAAGGATTTAAGAAGAAAAAAAGTTCAGGATGACAAGGGACACTAAAATCCCCACAAAATCCGATCTTTATGAAAGCTGCAGGTTCTCTGTCAGCTGAGGCCGAGCTGTTTTAGTTTACATTGAGTTCTAAGGGGAAAATGTCTGGGTAGCCCACGTGAATTTATTCTTGTTCAGTCTGCAGTACCGCAAGAATCCCCTGAGCACATGGGTCCTTCAGCTCCAAGCTGTAATTCCCTATCCAGTTATTATAATAGATCCATGGTTGTAGCTGACGCAGCACCGCGAGGAACAGGAAGTAAATCTCTGCATTAAGAAGAGTCAAAATCGCTTTTTCTTTGACGTGTGCAGTTGTGGCAACTGCTCGTATCAAGAGGAGAACTTATGGAGTCTCTCTTTTGCTAAAATGTAATTAACTAACGGTTGTCTCTCTTTAGGAAAATGCCTAAAAATGAACGGAATAATTTGTTAGCATTAGCCTGCGTAGCATCTGCAGCCATAGACACATCTGACAGCCTCAGTTCACGTTGCTGACTTTCATAGATACAATGCGGTATTTTTGTGTGGTATACGGTTGTAGTAACCAAGGCAACAGGGATAAAGAAGTGTTAAATAACTTGTTTAATGCCTTATATATTGTATTATTGATCAGAACTCTCCACTGTCGTCACTGAAGACAGCACAAGGTTCCCCCATCTCCCACTGCAGTCAAAACCAATCGCTCAATCCATGTTCCGGCTTGCTAGTGGATACTCGATTACAGAACTATGAATCATCTTTATGAAACACTATTCTAAATCTTTATTTCGTTTTTAAAATACTGTAAATTATTATTTGTGACTATTTATTCAGTCTCTCTTTACTGTATCTTTATCTATTAATATTTTTGTAACTACTAAATATTCTACATTGAAAATAGTTTTCACTCAAAGAGTGATAAGAAGGAGCAAAAAGCTCCTCTGCATTTTCCCGCATCCCCCATTCGAACTAAAATAAAATACATTCTGGAATTAGAGGAATAAATTTAGTATACAAACTATTATCATCTCAGATTAAAGAATTTCGATATCGGCCAACATTTTCATATCAGTTCATTCCTAGTATGAGTCAGTCAATAATCTAAGTTCATCAATGCATGCTGTCGTGTGTGATTCCCCTCTACGATCAATCTGAATGAGTCCTTTTTCAACACTGCTGTGGCTGCTTTACTGCTGCTTTACTCGGCCTCATTACCAGAGTCATTTGGGGTTAAAGGTGCGCTCTAAAGACTTGTAGGAGCAACGGCTGGAGCGGCTAGTGTTGATGGCCTGTTATTCACGGCCTGGTTATAACTGTATCCTACAGAATTCAACAGTTTTCCGAAACACTACCACCACACATGTTGTTGTGGCCGTCTATTCAAAAAATAACAGATCATTTTAAGTTGTTTGTTTCCAATTAGTACAAGTACAATAACCACTGAGTATCACTGTCTTTTGAGGCGCTTTAGTAAAAATTCCAGTGCTAAATCAATATTTGTCCAATTTGTCAGCGGTGTCCATGTGGCATTTTACAGAGAGGCTTGAATAGCTGAGTGAATCTGTAGAGTAAGGGAGAGGTGTGGGAGAGTGCAATAAGAAATACTTGATCTCACTGCTTCTAAAATTAGCCACGAGTTGTATTTCAGTACAAACAGACAGAGGTAGCAGTCAGGCTGAAGGTAACTGGGCATAAAACACATTCAAAGTTCAATTAAACAGTGAATGATGTATTTTTGGTCAATCACAAAGATAGAATTTAATTATCACCTTCAGAGGACTTGTTTTTATTAAACTTTGTTGTATTCTAAAGGGTGACTAAACCATGTTTGTTTTATCTAATTGTGGATTGTTCCTATTTCACAATAAGCATGTTAGTGGCTCTCAGTTTTTATTAAAAGCATTCTTTGTATGTGATTACAAAAAAAATCTTCTTGTTTTGTCTTTGGATTGGATTAGCAGGATGATTATTAGCCTAATCAGAATCCGATTTTTGTTTTATTTCCTGTTATTTAAGTAACAGGAAGTCACAAGATAGGAATTATTTTTGGCTCATGAAGCAAACAAGTTATAAAAGAGTAACAAATAGATTTAATGGCATGCATAAAAAATCTTTATAAATTATAATATAAAAATACACAGAGAACACTTTTCTCGCAGGTTATTGATGAAGTCCAGATGTATGAGGCTATAATGTGGCTTAGGTAACTCACTGTTAATTCATTCAGTCATTCATTCATTACAATCCTGCATGATCTCACAAACAGTACACCTTTAGGGTCACCTTGGTTTTTGATCAGCTGTATCTTTGGTATTTGTGTTCTTTTGGTATTTGTCCCACAAATATCCAAACGGTCTCTCTCTGGACAGAGACAGTCTACAGATACTTAATTTACTCATCAGCTTAAAAGGGAACTATCCTTATTAAAAACTATTTGTTCATATATTAAATACATTACAAATATGCATTTCCCACCTCAGCAATATGTTTTTGTGTTATAGATAATTAATAAATCAGTAAAATACGTTTTCAATATGAACGCCTCTGATTGGTCAGAAAATTGATGACGTAGTTGTCGGGGTTGAAGCTCTAGCTTTAGTGTTTACGACAATGCTTCTGCTTTGACACAAGACGGTAGAGAAAAAAGAAGCAGGATTTCCTTTAAATGGTTGTATTTTGTCTGGCCCTGAGACGCAGCAATGAAAGTTACCAAAAGAAGAGTGTAAACAGCAGTCCCTAAGATCTTTAACTTATACAGAAAAGGCGACAGTCCTAACGAACTTGGAGAAGACACCAGCTTGAGCTCGATGATGCCACCCGAAATCAGTTCTTTCAAGCTCCAACCAAAACCAGTTTTACGTGTTTCAACCCAACGGCTGTCATTGAGCCATGAATCCATGTTTCACTCTCTAACTATGTTTAGTAAAAGATATAGATATGACACATAGCATCAACACCACTTTAGCTGTTTTAGACTTTAGAACCACGGACACATGTTCAGTATAAGACCAGATATTTTTGCATTTGCTTGAAGACAGACACTCACCATTTCTCAAACTCAACATCTGAAGCTGGGACATGGGAGAGTTGCGGCTCCTCTCTTGGTGTTGCGGGTGTTGGCATGTTAGCTGCTGTTAGCCGATGTCCATAAATATAATCCAATTGGTCAAATCACCTCCAGACTTTTCGGTTCCATATCCACTTTTACTGTTGTGATCTTTCATTTCACGGTAGTCACTTTTAAGATTCTTAACTTTTCTCTGCACTGTGATTCCCGTGAATAAATTGTAATTCTAACTTATTTACACTCATTCGGGTGGCACCAACAAGCTCAAACAGAATAATGTGTTGGCCGCATCTGCAAACCGGTTTGAGCCATAGATCCATGAGACGAGCCCTTGTTCCTCATCTGAACTGACGTCCGAGTCCTCAATATCAGAATTACTGTCATAACAAGCACGCAAGGGCTCAAAAAGAAAAACCCCTGCCTTGTATTGTCCATCACTGAATAACCAATTTTTGTTTAAAACGTTCGTATACAACGTCATGGCTTATAAATAGCTTAACTACAAAACCCAAAGACCCCTACGTCACTACCTTCTTTTTGCTTGATAATTATTGATAGAAACCGCTAAGGGTGAAACTATCTGTCAAAATGAGTTACATTTTATTTAACACAAAAAATACCACAATATACCAAAAAAATGAGAATAGATCTCTTTAAAGTAAACATTACATTTAACAAACGAGGACAGTTAGAACGCTGAGCAGTTGAGTGGGTTTTAAAGAAGAATATCTACCTGTGATAGTTCCGACTCAAAGTCTGTTAGGGCACAGTCACATAGGTTTTCACAAATGAACTAGGCCAAGTAACTCAGATTGTTGCCACAGGGGTGTGAAGGCGGCCCGCGGGAAGACGTAATGTTACGCACAATATCAGGTCCCCACCAGTGGGAATTTTTCATGAGGGTCTAAGGACAGTGATGATCCGGGAAATGTATGAACTTTTCTGGACAGTGGTCATCTTGCATGTGTTTGTTCTTGTTGCATTTCGTGTTCGAGCTGTCAGATTCTGTTATCTGATGTTGAGGAATCGACTAAAACTGTAAAGTCTTCTGAGACAACTGCTGTTGTGATTATACACATTGAATTGATTTGTGTATCTTAGTCATCTGAGGAACTCTAATAATGCAATTGTTAAGACTCTGTTCTGCCCCGAGTTCTGCTCACTGCTGTTCACCTCCAAATTATGGACTTACTGGATTTTATACTGTACAGCAGCTGTAATGTTCTCTTTTTTATTTTCCTGTACGTATTTCTTTTTCAATATTCAATATACTGTGTGTATTGGATATTTTCTTTTAACTATGGACCGTATTGTATTGTGTCCTTATTAATAATAATAATAATAATAAATAAATCTGGACTGTAGATATAGAGGTGAACAGCTCTCGTCCCTCGGACTATAAGCTCATCTTAGAGATGCTTCTCTTCCCAGTCCCTCTGTACATTCATCTTGGACAGAAGCTGAATAATGTCTCTGGCAGCTGCTGGTTCAGTGGAGTGAGTCCTGAGGTGATAAATCTGGAGCAGAGTCCACGTTTCCGATTCATTTGAGCTGTTTGGGTTGACACGTGGTGCAGTCTATTTTTACAGCCTTCTTGGAGCCAGCAGTGGAGTACTACAACATGGGACCAATCACAGTTTGGGGATCCTCCCACTGTGTGATCTTCTCCCACTGTGTGATCCTCTCCCACTGTGTGATCCTCTCCCACAGTGTGACTGTGTGATCTTCTCCCACTGTGTGATCCTCTCCACTGTGTGATCTTCTCCCACTGTGTGATCCTCTCTTCTCCCACAGTGTGATCTTCTCCCACTGTGTGATCTTCTCCCACAGTGTGATCTTCTCCCACTGTGTGATCCTCTCCCACTGTGTGATCCTCTCCCACTGTGTGATCCTCTCCCACTGTGTGATCCTCTCCCACTGTGTGATCCTCTCCCACTGTGTGATCCTCTCCCACTGTGTGATCCTCTCCCACAGTGTGATCTTCTCCCACAGTGTGATCTTCTCCCACAGTGTGATCTTCTCCCACAGTGTGATCTTCTCCCACAGTGTGATCTTCTCCCACAGTGTGCTCTTTGCCCACAGTGTGCTCTTCTCCAGTTTCACACATTGTACCGTAAAACTCTGATTTGAGCAATTATTCTGAGTGATTGTGCTTACACTTGTGGTTTGCATTTGTGCAAAGTAAAAGCAATACCGACATTTGGAATCTTTAATGATATCATTGTTATTTGTGCCTTGACCGTCATGTGGGCATTTTTTGTGCTTCTCCTTCCTCCTGTGTCTCCTCCTCCCATTGTTTGTTGGTGAGTCTCCTCCCCTGTCTCCTAATGCAGGTTATCTGCTACTGGCATTTGAAGGCAATCAGCACCATATGTATTCTGGACCACGATATTTAACTCCACTTGGCCACTGCCAGTTTGTTTATCCTGAAGTTTTGTCACTTTTCCTTGGACTTCTTTCTGATTTTGCTTTTTGTATTTTCTCAGGTGGAAGGTGTTTTTTCATGAGAAAGAAAATAATTTGGATTTTTAAACTGTATTTGGATTTTTGTGGTTTTATTGTAACATTGACTGTAGCAAAACTACACTGTAAAGGCGCGTTCAGACCAAAAGCTTCAAAAAGCTTTTGATGCGCTTCAACTGACGCCGGGATAGTTTTGTCATTTTGGTGCTTGAAGCTTTTGACGCGAGTGACGCGCCTGACGCCGGTGGGAGGAGCTTCTCTGTTCCCTGTAGTTAGGACAGCGGTGGATTTTTCAATGAGCAGCGAGCCCTTATTTGTTATATAAAGCAAAATAACGTTGTTGTAGGGCTTCAACAAAAGATGTTCTGGGTTCACCACAGACTTGAGAGGCTGCAGTGTTTGCACAGTTCCGTCATTTACTCCAGGAGCTGCGTACGGAGGAGTCTCGCTTTCAGCGGTCCTTCCGCATGTCACTCGCCCAGTCTGAGTTCTCAAACCCCGGAGCTCGCCTCTCCCCGCCTCGCTCTCGCCTCTCCCTGCCAAATAATATTACTAATAACAATAATGACAATAAAACAGCAGCAGCAGATACATGACTTCTCTTCATGACAGAGACAGACCCTCTGCTGCTGCTGCTGCTCCTCGTCTCCTGATTGGTTGAAGCCCGCGTCAAAGCTTCAAAAGCTCAGCTTTGCTCAGCTTCGGCGTCAAAGGGATTGTTTTGATACACGAGCGTTTCGCGCGTCAAAAGCTTCAAGTGAGCGCGTATTACGCGTGACCTTTGAAGATTTTGACGCGCGCCAAGTGACGCCGGGCCCCTTGGCTTCACCTGACGCGCTTCACCATTCACTTTCAATGCAAACCTGACGCTTTTGACGCCGAAGTTAAGTCCGGTGTGAACGCCCCTTAAAACTACAGTCTCTGGAGTTGCTCTTTTTTCTTGTAGCTCTTCAAGCTGAGGTACCCATATTTACTGTTTGTCACAACAGAAAGTTTAGTAAAAGTCAAATGTTGTAAACAAACCAGCCCCCATCATGCTGTTTATGTTTCATTAGAAAACATCTTTGACAGACTTTTTAGGGTGGTCCTTTCTTTTTCACATTTGATGAAAGAAAACTGAGGCTCAAACAAATGCATGTGTTTTTGTGGTTTGAAAGTTGGGTACCACAGCTTTAATGTTGATAAAGTAAACTGAGGTTCTTGAGAAGGACCTCTAACTCAGAGAAGTTCCTTGAGGCAGGGGACACTCACAGTTTGTGTATTGTCTGTTTTAAATTTAAATTATGGATTTTGGCTTGTGAAGAACTAGGGTTACACTACTGTGCTTTATAAATACATTTGACAGATTCATTGATAGATTTTCTTGACCCAGTCTCCCTCACCCTCATGAAGGTCTAAGGTCAGTGCTGATGATCCAGGACACACGACATTCAACAACATTTATGGACATTGGTCTCTGCCCCTTATGGACCAATGGGTCTATGTGTTTTTTTATCGTTGCATATTCTGTGACTGTTCGATTCTCTGATCAGTGTTGCCGAATCAACAGTTTTGTAAAGTCCTCTGAGATAACTACTGTTGTGATTTAGGGCTATACAACATTTTGACTTACAAATGCTTTTAACCTGAATTCAAAAGGTTTTCTTGCCTCAGATTGTTGTGGTTCTATACCAGTCATTATTCTAAGATAAATTCAAGATTCAGATTTTGACATTTGCTGTAAAACCACATAACTGTGCAAGAGTACTCCAGTGCGCAGACAGAACAGATAGTACACACCAGAGCTTAATTGTCACGTCCTGATCTCTGGTTTACTGTGTCCTGAGGAAACACCTTTTAATGCAGCTGGCAGTCAGTGAGGGGCCTGTTCTGTGAGCTGCTTCATGCTGAGATTGGAAACATGTAATTGAAGTCTGCTGCTGTGTTCTGCAGGAAAGCACGTGCTGCAAACTGTAGATTATAACACACAGCTCTCACCTCTCCTGCCATGAACTGCCCGAATCCAGGAGGGAAGGTGAGGGAGGAGATGACCAACGTGACCACAGCGGGGAACAGCAGGCGACTGCCAAAGATCCGAACAAAGATACACTGGTTAATGGAGAATCTAGTACAGTCATGGGCAAACTTCTCCTGAGGGCCACATTGGCAAGTAGAGGTGCAACGGTTCATCACTGATCCGTGATCCGTTCGGTTCAACGTCTTCAGTTCGGTACAGACGTGATCCGCGGTTTGATTTATGAAAAAAAAGTTGTGCGCACGTTGTTCAGTCCACACACAGCGCCGTCATTGCGAGCGGAGGAACGGAGATGCTTGAAAGCCCCGCGTCATTTAAATCCCCTGTATGAGAGCATTTTGGCTTCACTGCAACTACACTGATAATTAATATTCAACAAAACTGTCACGATGTGTAAACACTGTGGCACAAGAAAGACATGAGTGAAAAAAAGCGTCTCAACGACCGCTTATTGTCGCGGCATTTAAGCAGCTCCTATACGCACAGTCAGACAGGGCTAAAGTCAACTCTATAATAGATCCATGAGCGGAACCGCTCACTTCATCACCGCAGACTGGGAGATGAAAAGCCTGGCGCTGCAGACACGTCCCCTCTTCGACAGTCACACAGTCACACAGCGCAGGAACTGACGCAGCAGCGGAGGAATGGAAGACAAAGGCCCAGTACTAATATCCCAGTCACAATTGATAATGCCAAAAATTAAATAAATGCAGTGAATGAGGCTGGACTGGGCCCAGAATGGACCGCCTCCTTGGGAGAATCAGGAAGGTGGTTTAATATATGAGGGTAAATACCCTCATAAAGTGCCTTCTTATGTTGCACTTTGTGTTGTTTTTCATTAATTATGTTAAATAGACATAATTGGATGGATGGAATATGCCTTCCATCCATCCATCCATTTCCTTCCCCTTATCCATTTCTAGGTCAGGGGGGCAGTCAGAGCAGGTGCCGAGTCCACATGAGCTGTGTTTATTAAAAAGACAAAACTTTTTTTTTTGAAAAATGAACCGAACCGTGGCCTCTGAACCGAGGTACGAACCGTACCGTGATTTTTTCAAACCGTTGCACCCCTATCGGCAAGGCACATTTATTTATATAGCACAGTTCATACACAAGGCTACTCAAAGTGCTGAACAAAACAAAGCACACATGGGAATCTTAACCTGCTGTCGGGGTGGACCTTATTTTAAATGTTTTTCTCAGGTTTTTATTACACCTAAATATATTAAATATCATATATCAGAACAAGGAGCATGAAGCAGAGAGATGTTATAGCCTTTATACTATATCTATATAAACTGAGAAACACTCTGGAGCCTGCTTGAAACGTTCTAAGGGCCGCATCTGGCCCTAGGGTCGGGGTTTTCCACCACTGATCTAGTATATGGTCACATATGTGTCATTCACAGTCAAATCAATGCAATGTTCTGAAATGTTGTAGTGAGATAATGCAGATCACCATTAAATCATCACACTGGAGAATCTTTCAAAACACAGAAAATACATTTCTTTAGTTCCAAGCGTTTATTGTATTTTCCATACAGGAAAGTGAAAACGAGAGGACCAAACATCTCTCAGACAAAAAGATATTTTTCTAAGCTCGCATGGTTTAGGTAGATGTCTTTAAGGTCAGAGTGGCGTCTGAAACCTACTGTTTGGTGAGGAAGCGGGTCATGGCGTTGGGTCGTCTCATGAACAGAACCACTTGTCTGTTCAGATAAACGAAGAAAGCTCCGAGGAATCCACAGAAGATCCTGCACCAGAGAAACATCTGAAACATGAAACTATGACATGGCATTAAAACAAATAATAATAATGTTAATGCATGGGTTTTATACAGCAGTTTTGGACGATCAAAACAGTGCTGCACTCCTGATTATTCACTCCCTTTTCCCATCACAGTACTAACCAAGCGCTGCCCTGCTTATCTTCTGAGGTCTGAGGGATCTGGATTTCATCTGCAGGTGTTTGTACTATTAGCTTGTAATGAGGTTGTAATTTCCACTGTATGGTTTATGACTTTTGCTGTTTTTAACACTTTTTTTACCCAAAAGATGAAATACAAAACTAAATCAATACAAATAGATAAAAGAAATCCTTCAATGATTCCAAAAGGCAAATGAAGAGATAAATTGAAGCCGCAGCAAACGCAGAAGCCGCTGATGAATGACTCCAAAGGGGAATGTTGTGAAACGAACCCTCGAAACCATGACTCATATTATAAATCAGCTCAGTATTAGGTCAGCTCTGCCCCTCAGGGCACACTCTCAACTGACAAATTGGATTTTTCACATTTAAAATGCTACATTAGCATAATACTGGACTTTGTCAGGCCTGTCAGTCTTTGTTTTTAATTATGGAGATGTAAATGTGGATGCAGATGTGAAACACTTCACCCAATGATGGCAAAGGCAGGCAGCTCTTGGAGGTCAAACGGGAAGTCCATACGAAACTTAGTCCTGAACAGAGCCGTTATGGTCACTGTAAGAAAACACAGAATTACACATTTACACATGGTGTTCATATACTGTACACAGAGTGTTCAGGAGCAGTGTTACTGTTACTAAGTGAATGGCACCATCTGCTGCAGAACAACTGTAAATGCTTTATACTCATTATTTCAAATATTCTTTCAAAAACAATATGATCGAAGAAAACGCATTGTGTTTTGGTTTGCAACTGCATGGTTAGTATTTGGTGAAAAAGTCAGACATGTGGATCATTATTATTTGTTTTCTACATTTCAACCTTAACAGTTTTAGTAACCTTTATTAATACAGCGTCCTCACAGACCAGGGTCAGAAGATCACGACAGTCACGATGACGGCAATACTCAGATTAAAGATGTACAAATGTAAAAGGCCAAGGCAACATTGAGGAACACAGGAGCCTCAAGACAGAAGGCAAAGGTCTGAACGAATAAACAGGTCATGCATTCACATTTGAAGGAGTAACAGACACTGATGAATGCAGAGGGATTGGAAGATTGTTCCGAAGCTCAGGAGCAACAACTTGGAGCATCAGTCTCCTCTGGAGGATCAGTCTCCTCTGGATGATCAGTCTCTGGAGGATCAATCTCCTCTGGAGGATCAATCTCCTCTGGAGGATCAGTCTCTGGAGGATCAGTCTCCTCTGGAGGATCAGTCTCCTCTGGAGGATCAATCTCCTCTGGAGGATCAATCTCCTCTGGAGGATCAATCTCCTCTGGAGGACCAGTCTCCTCTGGAGGATCAGTCTCCTCTGGAGGATCAGTCTCCTCTGGAGGATCAATCTCCTCTGGAGGATCAGTCTCTGGAGGATCAGTCTCCTCTGGATGATCAGTCTCTGGAGGATCAGTCTCTGGAGGATCAATAGCCTGACTCTCGCCAGACCCTTGCAGTTTGCTGAGCTTCACACAAGGATCTGGGTCTCCTTCATAGAGGATGAATTTCAGAAGGCGGGGCCTTGTAAAAAAAATCCTAGTATGTGATTGGATAAACCATATGTCTGTTATCTTGAATGACTTGTTCCTTCAACCACTCACATCAAAGCACACAATTCAGCACACGACTCCCATGGGTTGCCAAATGCCAGAAAGATTTTCCAGCCCAAAACCTGCAAGAATGCCCAAAAATAAACACCCAGAATGATTTTGTGGCTAAAAACATAATGTAATCAACTTGGGCTATCATGATTCTGTTTAGTTATTACCTACAAGTCGCTTGGAACAAAAGCATGCGGGAAACCACCCAACCTGGCAACCCTGCTGCGTAGTGTTATAACAAGAACACTTAAATTAGTTCTTAAACCACACTTTACACAAACATTTGACTCTTGAAACATATAAAAACATGGAACCATCAACATCTCGCCTCACTGTGCTATACAAACAAACTGGTCTTGTCTCATATTGTTGGAATGCTGTTTGTCTGCTATGACTCATTTGACAGAGACAAATTGAGAATGAAACAAGTTTAAATCACGTCACACATATAGACTCTCAACTGTAATAACTTTTCTGTGTAAATGTGACTTGACTTGAAACACCGCAAAGTTTGGATTATTCACCTGCGTCTTTATTGAACACGGATAAGACTCTGAAGATGAAGGCACTGAATGTAGCTGCGAAATATCCTCTCCAGTAGTTTCTGACCGCAAAGTACGTGGACGTCACCTCAATACTGAACAGCACTCCTGAACATAGACAGAGTACAAATACAGTTCCTGGTCTTTGATCCAGTCTTACACCTGAGACGTGTCCTTACCCCCGAGCGGAGTCCCGAAGCAGCAGCCCACTCCCACCGCACAGCCCACAGTAAGGATGTCTGTGTAACAGTACGGGTTCTACTGGCCCAGAGAGACATGAGGATGTTATCTTATATTCATTCAATTCAAATCACAATAGTGGTTATCTCAGAGGAATTACAGTTCAAACACAGGAAATGCATAAAGCACATAGAGCCATTAGGCCCTATGGCTATAAATGTCATAAGTATTACCCAAACTCTTTCAAACGGACTGATGAATTCAATGTATTTGTGTACAGTCCTCAATCACGGCAGTCCTTGCACAAAGTTACAAAATATCTGATTCCTCAACAACAGATCAGAGAACACACAGTCAAAGCCACAGTGAAAGTGTTAACTGAGAGACTGCGTTCTCGTGTTTGTATTGTCCTGTACTATGCAACTAGGTCTACTTTGTGTCTGTATGTCTTTTAACTGTTGCTGTTTGTTAACTCATCGACTGCCAGCCCATTTCAGAACAGGTACTTCCATATTGCCAGCCGTTTTTGATGGTTTTGTACTGATTTTTAAAGACCCACAGAATATTGTGTACTATGACTATCTGAAATCCGACACTTTCTAAAAGATTCTAAAAGAATGGACTGTCTACTTTCATCAGTAAAGATAATTTTCCCCTGTAATCCTCCGTCGAGAAGAGGGACGTTTTACTAAAATCACCAGAAAGCTGAGAAAAAAGAGGCACAACATGTGCATCTAGCTGCTTTCAAACCATTCAGAGAGCAATGCTGCCACCTGCTGGCTAGATAAAATATGGTCTCAAGCCAATCCCCATACATATTAGATACAATAGACATCTGGAAACATGAAAATAGCGGGAAAGGCAATTGACGTATTGATGTCAATGGCACACAACATTAATGACTGGAACATCAATCTTCCTGGGGCTACAGGTGGAAACTCTCCCTCATGGCTATATCTGGCATATTTATATGGACACATGATGATTAATGAGCACTTTCCAATTCAAATGAACAAATACATAACCTGCCACGGCCCACTGTATTATGCTTTGTCTTTAGCGAAAGCATAATGCATAATTTACCTGCTGAACTCCTGAGAATATGGACATGACTCTGCTGAGGACAGCGGCACAGATGCTGGCGATGTGAACAAACGGCCCCTGAGTGAAAAGCACACTCCTGAAAAATATTCATCAGGACAAAAACGGGTTTGAATGTCTGTAGAGGCACCTCTTTCCCCACAGGCATACCGCTCCCCAGAGCCATCGTGAGGCCGATCACTTTAGCCACAAATGCCTTCAGTGTCAGATACTCCTTCAGCACCACTCCCCTCAGAATGGTCTTCAGCTCTGGGATTCCGGACCCTGAGGAAACAAGGAACCAGAGAAGGAGTAGGAAGAGTGGGATTTCCAATGGAACCTAAACATGTTGAATCACAATGCAGCTCAATTACAAAGTAATTGTAAACACAATTTCACAATATCATCAAATTCAAGCATTATGAATATTTTTGGCAGTGAAAAAGATGTTTGAAGTACACACCGATGGCTTGAGGAGAAACAAGGTGACAGAAGAGTGAAGAGAACAGGATGAAGAGGAGCGGGTAAGAAACCCAGGCCACATACTGCAGGGGGAGGTTCCCTTTCAACTCTCCATAGATCCACTTGTACGCTGAGGACCAGAAACCAGACCAGATACCGGATCAGAGAACAGAGACCACACCAGAGACCAGAACAAAGAGCGGACCAAAGACCGGACCAAAGACCGGACCGAAGACCGGACCAGAGACCTGACCAAATACCGGACCAGAGACCAGAACAGAGAGCGGACCAGAGACCAGAACAAAGACAGAGAGATAAGACGAGTGAAAAAAGGTGTATAAGAATGTGTTGTCTGTACCTTGCAGGCTCTTGGCACTGGCATAGTCCATGGTCCAGCTCACCAGGGCCATGGTGAGGCCCAGAAGAACCAGGAAGATCCAGTCTTCTCCAAGCCGCGTTACCAGGAAGCGCTGCACCCGACAAACGCAGTCTGACAAAACCAAACACTGCAACTCACAGAAGGGAATAGTGTAGCCTCCATCAGCGCCTGGCTGCCTCACAGATAAACCCTCTCTCTACAACAAAGCTCCAGTCCAACCTGATAAAGATATCTCAAACAATTATGTAACAGAATTGTCTCTGTAAATGTGTGACTTGAAGGTATTTCACTTATGTGTTAATAGTGCTCTGATAGAGGTCAAAAGCAGCTGACTTTTACTTAACCAGGCAATAAATATGGTATAACAAGTATAACGTATTTACCTTATTTTTGAGATCCTTCTAAACATATTCAAGAGTCCAATTGGAATATATTGTGTCAACATATACTGGTAATGCAGGATGAATCGTATTGAGACATAAGTAGAGACTTTAAGTAAGTACAGTTTATTTACACAGATCCTTTCACAAACCAAGGCCACAAAGCAAAAATTCACAGTAAACGCTAAGTTTTAATACATATTACAATGTTTGTACAAAATGAAAGAGGAATCTTTACAGCCCATTGAATAGAAGTGAACAGAATGATAGGTGCTCCCCTCTCTCTCTCTCTCTGACCTAAACCTTCAGCCTCACCTCTGCATTTGGAGAAGGAGCACTTGTTTTGCAGCTCTAGTTCCAGCTGCTCCTCTGCTGGTGGAGTCTCCATGTTGGACTGCTCCTCCGCTGGTGGACTCTCCATGTTGGACGTTCGCCGGCTGCGGTAGCGGCTGTAGCGGCTCTGGAAGCCGTTCTGCCCGTGGCTGCGGCGGCCCAGACCCCCGTGCTTCCGTCCCAGTCCGCGGGCGCCATGTTTCTTGATTTGTCTCTCGGTCAAAAGCCTTGTGGCCTCACGACGTCCTGAACCTCCGTGGTGCTCCTGGTACTCCCCATAGAGCTGCAACACAAGCAATTCAACCAGCTGCTGAAATCCCATATAAACATTTCCCTTCAGTGAGTTTTTCCAGATCCACAATGCAACCGTTACTAAGCTCCAAAGCACAGATTGACTCTGTCTACACAGGTATTCTGAGTGTTAGGACTTCCTCATTCATCACTGATTACAAAGAATTGTTTTCGATCAAATGATATTCAAAGAACTCTCTTTATCACTCTGATAATCCACTAGTTCCTTTTCCTGCTGCTATTATTGCATTATTATTTTTATGGAGTGTGTGACATCATGATGTCGCACAACAGTTGTGCTTGTCTGCTTGATCGCTCTAAAGCAGTATTAAAGTAATGGTGCATGTGAATACTAGCGGATGAGTTTTATTACATTTGATTCATATTTAGAGGTAAGGTAAGTTAGGCAACCCAACTTCATTACTTTTTTTTTTCAATTCAATGAAATTTTACAAATGGGTCTCCCTCCTTGTGGGTTTCCCTAGTTCTCCCCAAGGTTTCTCACTTTTTCCCACTGGGTTTTTTAAGAGTTTTTCCTTGTCGATGCAGGAGGGTCTTGTTGGACAGTTAGTGTCCAACAGAAAGGATTGGTGATGATCAGGACACTTTAGCATTCTACAACATGTATGGACATTTTTTATGTGTGTGCTTTATATTTTTCATGTGTTTTAACTGTTGATTCGCTGATCTGATTTGGTGATTTCAATGGTTTTGTTAAGTCCTCTGAGATGACTTCTGTTGTGACATAGGGCTATACAAGAATAAATTGTATTGTGTATTGTACATGGAGCCATTGGTCGATAAGGGGCAGCTGACTAATGTCTATACATGTTGATGTATTTCACATAGAAAAGGATCCATCGTAATTTACATAGATGCAATCCTTGACATTCACACTGTGAGAATATGCAAAGTCTCTGTGGATCTGGAAGAAGTCAGACCAACTGTGTCCTCCAGAAAACAGACAGTAACAGTTCCAAAGCTAATACAGAATTTGCAGGTTTCAAAGTCCCTTATGGCACAAACACAGACTGACTGTGACTATGCACAGGTATCTCAATCAATCAATCAACCCCCCCCCCCCCCCCCCCCCCCCCCCCCCCCCCCCCCCCCCCCCCCCCCCCCCCCCCCCCCCCCCCCCCCCCCCCCCCCCCCCCCCCCCCCCCCCCCCCCCCCCCCCCCCCCCCCCCCCCCCCCCCCCCCCCCCCCCCCCCCCCCCCCCCCCCCCCCCCCCCCCCCCCCCCCCCCCCCCCCCCCCCCCCCCCCCCCCCCCCCCCCCCCCCCCCCCCCCCCCCCCCCCCCCCCCCCCCCCCCCCCCCCCCCCCCCCCCCCCCCCCCCCCCCCCCCCCCCCCCCCCCCCCCCCCCCCCCCCCCCCCCCCCCCCCCCCCCCCCCCCCCCCCCCCCCCCCCCCCCCCCCCCCCCCCCCCCCCCCCCCCCCCCCCCCCCCCCCCCCCCCCCCCCCCCCCCCCCCCCCCCCCCCCCCCCCCCCCCCCCCCCCCCCCCCCCCCCCCCCCCCCCCCCCCCCCCCCCCCCCCCCCCCCCCCCCCCCCCCCCCCCCCCCCCCCCCCCCCCCCCCCCCCCCCACCCCCCCCCCCCCCCCCCCCCCCCCCCCCCCCCCCCCCCCCCCCCCCCCCCCCCCCCCCCCCCCCCCCCCCCCCCCCCCCCCCCCCCCCCCCCCCCCCCCCCCCCCCCCCCCCCCCCCCCCCCCCCCCCCCCCCCCCCCCCCCCCCCCCCCCCCCCCCCCCCCCCCCCCCCCCCCCCCCCCCCCCCCCCCCCCCCCCCCCCCCCCCCCCCCCCCCCCCCCCCCCCCCCCCCCCCCCCCCCCCCCCCCCCCCCCCCCCCCCCCCCCCCCCCCCCCCCCCCCCCCCCCCCCCCCCCCCCCCCCCCCCCCCCCCCCCCCCCCCCCCCCCCCCCCCCCCCCCCCCCCCCCCCCCCCCCCCCCCCCCCCCCCCCCCCCCCCCCCCCCCCCCCCCCCCCCCCCCCCCCCCCCCCCCCCCCCCCCCCCCCCCCCCCCCCCCCCCCCCCCCCCCCCCCCCCCCCCCCCCCCCCCCCCCCCCCCCCCCCCCCCCCCCCCCCCCCCCCCCCCCCCCCCCCCCCCCCCCCCCCCCCCCCCCCCCCCCCCCCCCCCCCCCCCCCCCCCCCCCCCCCCCCCCCCCCCCCCCCCCCCCCCCCCCCCCCCCCCCCCCCCCCCCCCCCCCCCCCCCCCCCCCCCCCCCCCCCCCCCCCCCCCCCCCCCCCCCCCCCCCCCCCCCCCCCCCCCCCCCCCCCCCCCCCCCCCCCCCCCCCCCCCCCCCCCCCCCCCCCCCCCCCCCCCCCCCCCCCCCCCCCCCCCCCCCCCCCCCCCCCCCCCCCCCCCCCCCCCCCCCCCCCCCCCCCCCCCCCCCCCCCCCCCCCCCCCCCCCCCCCCCCCCCCCCCCCCCCCCCCCCCCCCCCCCCCCCCCCCCCCCCCCCCCCCCCCCCCCCCCCCCCCCCCCCCTCCCCCCCCCCCCCCCCCCCCCCCCCCCCCCCCCCCCCCCCCCCCCCCCCCCCCCCCCCCCCCCCCCCCCCCCCCCCCCCCCCCCCCCCCCCCCCCCCCCCCCCCCCCCCCCCCCCCCCCCCCCCCCCCCACCCCCCCCCCCCCCCCCCCCCCCCCCCCCCCCCCCCCCCCCCCCCCCCCCCCCCCCCCCCCCCCCCCCCCCCCCCCCCCCCCCCCCCCCCCCCCCCCCCCCCCCCCCCCCCCCCCCCCCCCCCCCCCCCCCCCCCCCCCCCCCCCCCCCCCCCCCCCCCCCCCCCCCCCCCCCCCCCCCCCCCCCCCCCCCCCCCCCCCCCCCCCCCCCCCCCCCCCCCCCCCCCCCCCCCCCCCCCCCCCCCCCCCCCCCCCCCCCCCCCCCCCCCCCCCCCCCCCCCCCCCCCCCCCCCCCCCCCCCCCCCCCCCCCCCCCCCCCCCCCCCCCCCCCCCCCCCCCCCCCCCCCCCCCCCCCCCCCCCCCCCCCCCCCCCCCCCCCCCCCCCCCCCCCCCCCCCCCCCCCCCCCCCCCCCCCCCCCCCCCCCCCCCCCCCCCCCCCCCCCCCCCCCCCCCCCCCCCCCCCCCCCCCCCCCCCCCCCCCCCCCCCCCCCCCCCCCCCCCCCCCCCCCCCCCCCCCCCCCCCCCCCCCCCCCCCCCCCCCCCCCCCCCCCCCCCCCCCCCCCCCCCCCCCCCCCCCCCCCCCCCCCCCCCCCCCCCCCCCCCCCCCCCCCCCCCCCCCCCCCCCCCCCCCCCCCCCCCCCCCCCCCCCCCCCCCCCCCCCCCCCCCCCCCCCCCCCCCCCCCCCCCCCCCCCCCCCCCCCCCCCCCCCCCCCCCCCCCCCCCCCCCCCCCCCCCCCCCCCCCCCCCCCCCCCCCCCCCCCCCCCCCCCCCCCCCCCCCCCCCCCCCCCCCCCCCCCCCCCCCCCCCCCCCCCCCCCCCCCCCCCCCCCCCCCCCCCCCCCCCCCCCCCCCCCCCCCCCCCCCCCCCCCCCCCCCCCCCCCCCCCCCCCCCCCCCCCCCCCCCCCCCCCCCCCCCCCCCCCCCCCCCCCCCCCCCCCCCCCCCCCCCCCCCCCCCCCCCCCCCCCCCCCCCCCCCCCCCCCCCCCCCCCCCCCCCCCCCCCCCCCCCCCCCCCCCCCCCCCCCCCCCCCCCCCCCCCCCCCCCCCCCCCCCCCCCCCCCCCCCCCCCCCCCCCCCCCCCCCCCCCCCCCCCCCCCCCCCCCCCCCCCCCCCCCCCCCCCCCCCCCCCCCCCCCCCCCCCCCCCCCCCCCCCCCCCCCCCCCCCCCCCCCCCCCCCCCCCCCCCCCCCCCCCCCCCCCCCCTATATCCCCCCCCCCCCCCCCCCCCCCCCCCCCCCCCCCCCCCCCCCCCCCCCCCCCCCCCCCCCCCCCCCCCCCCCCCCCCCCCCCCCCCCCCCCCCCCCCCCCCCCCCCCCCCCCCCCCCCCCCCCCCCCCCCCCCCCCCCCCCCCCCCCCCCCCCCCCCCCCCCCCCCCCCCCCCCCCCCCCCCCCCCCCCCCCCCCCCCCCCCCCCCCCCCCCCCCCCCCCCCCCCCCCCCCCCCCCCCCCCCCCCCCCCCCCCCCCCCCCCCCCCCCCCCCCCCCCCCCCCCCCCCCCCCCCCCCCCCCCCCCCCCCCCCCCCCCCCCCCCCCCCCCCCCCCCCCCCCCCCCCCCCCCCCCCCCCCCCCCCCCCCCCCCCCCCCCCCCCCCCCCCCCCCCCCCCCCCCCCCCCCCCCCCCCCCCCCCCCCCCCCCCCCCCCCCCCCCCCCCCCCCCCCCCCCCCCCCCCCCCCCCCCCCCCCCCCCCCCCCCCCCCCCCCCCCCCCCCCCCCCCCCCCCCCCCCCCCCCCCCCCCCCCCCCCCCCCCCCCCCCCCCCCCCCCCCCCCCCCCCCCCCCCCCCCCCCCCCCCCCCCCCCCCCCCCCCCCCCCCCCCCCCCCCCCCCCCCCCCCCCCCCCCCCCCCCCCCCCCCCCCCCCCCCCCCCCCCCCCCCCCCCCCCCCCCCCCCCCCCCCCCCCCCCCCCCCCCCCCCCCCCCCCCCCCCCCCCCCCCCCCCCCCCCCCCCCCCCCCCCCCCCCCCCCCCCCCCCCCCCCCCCCCCCCCCCCCCCCCCCCCCCCCCCCCCCCCCCCCCCCCCCCCCCCCCCCCCCCCCCCCCCCCCCCCCCCCCCCCCCCCCCCCCCCCCCCCCCCCCCCCCCCCCCCCCCCCCCCCCCCCCCCCCCCCCCCCCCCCCCCCCCCCCCCCCCCCCCCCCCCCCCCCCCCCCCCCCCCCCCCCCCCCCCCCCCCCCCCCCCCCCCCCCCCCCCCCCCCCCCCCCCCCCCCCCCCCCCCCCCCCCCCCCCCCCCCCCCCCCCCCCCCCCCCCCCCCCCCCCCCCCCCCCCCCCCCCCCCCCCCCCCCCCCCCCCCCCCCCCCCCCCCCCCCCCCCCCCCCCCCCCCCCCCCCCCCCCCCCCCCCCCCCCCCCCCCCCCCCCCCCCCCCCCCCCCCCCCCCCCCCCCCCCCCCCCCCCCCCCCCCCCCCCCCCCCCCCCCCCCCCCCCCCCCCCCCCCCCCCCCCCCCCCCCCCCCCCCCCCCCCCCCCCCCCCCCCCCCCCCCCCCCCCCCCCCCCCCCCCCCCCCCCCCCCCCCCCCCCCCCCCCCCCCCCCCCCCCCCCCCCCCCCCCCCCCCCCCCCCCCCCCCCCCCCCCCCCCCCCCCCCCCCCCCCCCCCCCCCCCCCCCCCCCCCCCCCCCCCCCCCCCCCCCCCCCCCCCCCCCCCCCCCCCCCCCCCCCCCCCCCCCCCCCCCCCCCCCCCCCCCCCCCCCCCCCCCCCCCCCCCCCCCCCCCCCCCCCCCCCCCCCCCCCCCCCCCCCCCCCCCCCCCCCCCCCCCCCCCCCCCCCCCCCCCCCCCCCCCCCCCCCCCCCCCCCCCCCCCCCCCCCCCCCCCCCCCCCCCCCCCCCCCCCCCCCCCCCCCCCCCCCCCCCCCCCCCCCCCCCCCCCCCCCCCCCCCCCCCCCCCCCCCCCCCCCCCCCCCCCCCCCCCCCCCCCCCCCCCCCCCCCCCCCCCCCCCCCCCCCCCCCCCCCCCCCCCCCCCCCCCCCCCCCCCCCCCCCCCCCCCCCCCCCCCCCCCCCCCCCCCCCCCCCCCCCCCCCCCCCCCCCCCCCCCCCCCCCCCCCCCCCCCCCCCCCCCCCCCCCCCCCCCCCCCCCCCCCCCCCCCCCCCCCCCCCCCCCCCCCCCCCCCCCCCCCCCCCCCCCCCCCCCCCCCCCCCCCCCCCCCCCCCCCCCCCCCCCCCCCCCCCCCCCCCCCCCCCCCCCCCCCCCCCCCCCCCCCCCCCCCCCCCCCCCCCCCCCCCCCCCCCCCCCCCCCCCCCCCCCCCCCCCCCCCCCCCCCCCCCCCCCCCCCCCCCCCCCCCCCCCCCCCCCCCCCCCCCCCCCCCCCCCCCCCCCCCCCCCCCCCCCCCCCCCCCCCCCCCCCCCCCCCCCCCCCCCCCCCCCCCCCCCCCCCCCCCCCCCCCCCCCCCCCCCCCCCCCCCCCCCCCCCCCCCCCCCCCCCCCCCCCCCCCCCCCCCCCCCCCCCCCCCCCCCCCCCCCCCCCCCCCCCCCCCCCCCCCCCCCCCCCCCCCCCCCCCCCCCCCCCCCCCCCCCCCCCCCCCCCCCCCCCCCCCCCCCCCCCCCCCCCCCCCCCCCCCCCCCCCCCCCCCCCCCCCCCCCCCCCCCCCCCCCCCCCCCCCCCCCCCCCCCCCCCCCCCCCCCCCCCCCCCCCCCCCCCCCCCCCCCCCCCCCCCCCCCCCCCCCCCCCCCCCCCCCCCCCCCCCCCCCCCCCCCCCCCCCCCCCCCCCCCCCCCCCCCCCCCCCCCCCCCCCCCCCCCCCCCCCCCCCCCCCCCCCCCCCCCCCCCCCCCCCCCCCCCCCCCCCCCCCCCCCCCCCCCCCCCCCCCCCCCCCCCCCCCCCCCCCCCCCCCCCCCCCCCCCCCCCCCCCCCCCCCCCCCCCCCCCCCCCCCCCCCCCCCCCCCCCCCCCCCCCCCCCCCCCCCCCCCCCCCCCCCCCCCCCCCCCCCCCCCCCCCCCCCCCCCCCCCCCCCCCCCCCCCCCCCCCCCCCCCCCCCCCCCCCCCCCCCCCCCCCCCCCCCCCCCCCCCCCCCCCCCCCCCCCCCCCCCCCCCCCCCCCCCCCCCCCCCCCCCCCCCCCCCCCCCCCCCCCCCCCCCCCCCCCCCCCCCCCCCCCCCCCCCCCCCCCCCCCCCCCCCCCCCCCCCCCCCCCCCCCCCCCCCCCCCCCCCCCCCCCCCCCCCCCCCCCCCCCCCCCCCCCCCCCCCCCCCCCCCCCCCCCCCCCCCCCCCCCCCCCCCCCCCCCCCCCCCCCCCCCCCCCCCCCCCCCCCCCCCCCCCCCCCCCCCCCCCCCCCCCCCCCCCCCCCCCCCCCCCCCCCCCCCCCCCCCCCCCCCCCCCCCCCCCCCCCCCCCCCCCCCCCCCCCCCCCCCCCCCCCCCCCCCCCCCCCCCCCCCCCCCCCCCCCCCCCCCCCCCCCCCCCCCCCCCCCCCCCCCCCCCCCCCCCCCCCCCCCCCCCCCCCCCCCCCCCCCCCCCCCCCCCCCCCCCCCCCCCCCCCCCCCCCCCCCCCCCCCCCCCCCCCCCCCCCCCCCCCCCCCCCCCCCCCCCCCCCCCCCCCCCCCCCCCCCCCCCCCCCCCCCCCCCCCCCCCCCCCCCCCCCCCCCCCCCCCCCCCCCCCCCCCCCCCCCCCCCCCCCCCCCCCCCCCCCCCCCCCCCCCCCCCCCCCCCCCCCCCCCCCCCCCCCCCCCCCCCCCCCCCCCCCCCCCCCCCCCCCCCCCCCCCCCCCCCCCCCCCCCCCCCCCCCCCCCCCCCCCCCCCCCCCCCCCCCCCCCCCCCCCCCCCCCCCCCCCCCCCCCCCCCCCCCCCCCCCCCCCCCCCCCCCCCCCCCCCCCCCCCCCCCCCCCCCCCCCCCCCCCCCCCCCCCCCCCCCCCCCCCCCCCCCCCCCCCCCCCCCCCCCCCCCCCCCCCCCCCCCCCCCCCCCCCCCCCCCCCCCCCCCCCCCCCCCCCCCCCCCCCCCCCCCCCCCCCCCCCCCCCCCCCCCCCCCCCCCCCCCCCCCCCCCCCCCCCCCCCCCCCCCCCCCCCCCCCCCCCACCCCCCCCCCCCCCCCCCCCCCCCCCCCCCCCCCCCCCCCCCCCCCCCCCCCCCCCCCCCCCCCCCCCCCCCCCCCCCCCCCCCCCCCCCCCCCCCCCCCCCCCCCCCCCCCCCCCCCCCCCCCCCCCCCCCCCCCCCCCCCCCCCCCCCCCCCCCCCCCCCCCCCCCCCCCCCCCCCCCCCCCCCCCCCCCCCCCCCCCCCCCCCCCCCCCCCCCCCCCCCCCCCCCCCCCCCCCCCCCCCCCCCCCCCCCCCCCCCCCCCCCCCCCCCCCCCCCCCCCCCCCCCCCCCCCCCCCCCCCCCCCCCCCCCCCCCCCCCCCCCCCCCCCCCCCCCCCCCCCCCCCCCCCCCCCCCCCCCCCCCCCCCCCCCCCCCCCCCCCCCCCCCCCCCCCCCCCCCCCCCCCCCCCCCCCCCCCCCCCCCCCCCCCCCCCCCCCCCCCCCCCCCCCCCCCCCCCCCCCCCCCCCCCCCCCCCCCCCCCCCCCCCCCCCCCCCCCCCCCCCCCCCCCCCCCCCCCCCCCCCCCCCCCCCCCCCCCCCCCCCCCCCCCCCCCCCCCCCCCCCCCCCCCCCCCCCCCCCCCCCCCCCCCCCCCCCCCCCCCCCCCCCCCCCCCCCCCCCCCCCCCCCCCCCCCCCCCCCCCCCCCCCCCCCCCCCCCCCCCCCCCCCCCCCCCCCCCCCCCCCCCCCCCCCCCCCCCCCCCCCCCCCCCCCCCCCCCCCCCCCCCCCCCCCCCCCCCCCCCCCCCCCCCCCCCCCCCCCCCCCCCCCCCCCCCCCCCCCCCCCCCCCCCCCCCCCCCCCCCCCCCCCCCCCCCCCCCCCCCCCCCCCCCCCCCCCCCCCCCCCCCCCCCCCCCCCCCCCCCCCCCCCCCCCCCCCCCCCCCCCCCCCCCCCCCCCCCACCCCCCCCCCCCCCCCCCCCCCCCCCCCCCCCCCCCCCCCCCCCCCCCCCCCCCCCCCCCCCCCCCCCCCCCCCCCCCCCCCCCCCCCCCCCCCCCACCCCCCCCCCCCCCCCCCCCCCCCCCCCCCCCCCCCCCCCCCCCCCCCCCCCCCCCCCCCCCCCCCCCCCCCCCCCCCCCCCCCCCCCCCCCCCCCCCCCCCCCCCCCCCCCCCCCCCCCCCCCCCCCCCCCCCCCCCCCCCCCCCCCCCCCCCCCCCCACCCCCCCCCCCCCCCCCCCCCCCCCCCCCCCCCCCCCCCCCCCCCCCCCCCCCCACCCCCCCCCCCCCCCCCCCCCCCCCCCCCCCCCCCCCCCCCCCCCCCCCCCCCCCCCCCCCCCCCCCCCCCCCCCCCCCCCCCCCCCCCCCCCCCCCCCCCCCCCCCCCCCCCCCCCCCCCCCCCCCCCCCCCCCCCCCCCCCCCCCCCCCCCCCCCCCCCCCCCCCCCCCCCCCCCCCCCCCCCCCCCCCCCCCCCCCCCCCCCCCCCCCCCCCCCCCCCCCCCCCCCCCCCCCCCCCCCCCCCCCCCCCCCCCCCCCCCCCCCCCCCCCCCCCCCCCCCCCCCCCCCCCCCCCCCCCCCCCCCCCCCCCCCCCCCCCCCCCCCCCCCCCCCCCCCCCCCCCCCCCCCCCCCCCCCCCCCCCCCCCCCCCCCCCCCCCCCCCCCCCCCCCCCCCCCCCCCCCCCCCCCCCCCCCCCCCCCCCCCCCCCCCCCCCCCCCCCCCCCCCCCCCCCCCCCCCCCCCCCCCCCCCCCCCCCCCCCCACCCCCCCCCCCCCCCCCCCCCCCCCCCCCCCCCCCCCCCCCCCCCCCCCCCCCCCCCCCCCCCCCCCCCCCCCCCCCCCCCCCCCCCCCCCCCCCCCCCCCCCCCCCCCCCCCCCCCCCCCCCCCCCCCCCCCCCCCCCCCCCCCCCCCCCCCCCCCCCCCCCCCCCCCCCCCCCCCCCCCCCCCCCCCCCCCCCCCCCCCCCCCCCCCCCCCCCCCCCCCCCCCCCCCCCCCCCCCCCCCCCCCCCCCCCCCCCCCCCCCCCCCCCCCCCCCCCCCCCCCCCCCCCCCCCCCCCCCCCCCCCCCCCCCCCCCCCCCCCCCCCCCCCCCCCCCCCCCCCCCCCCCCCCCCCCCCCCCCCCCCCCCCCCCCCCCCCCCCCCCCCCCCCCCCCCCCCCCCCCCCCCCCCCCCCCCCCCCCCCCCCCCCCCCCCCCCCCCCCCCCCCCCCCCCCCCCCCCCCCCCCCCCCCCCCCCCCCCCCCCCCCCCCCCCCCCCCCCCCCCCCCCCCCCCCCCCCCCCCCCCCCCCCCCCCCCCCCCCCCCCCCCCCCCCCCCCCCCCCCCCCCCCCCCCCCCCCCCCCCCCCCCCCCCCCCCCCCCACCCCCCCCCCCCCCCCCCCCACCCCCCCCCCCCCCCCCCCCCCCCCCCCCCCCCCCCCCCCCCCCCCCCCCCCCCCCCCCCCCCCCCCCCCCCCCCCCCCCCCCCCCCCCCCCCCCCCCCCCCCCCCCCCCCCCCCCCCCCCCCCCCCCCCCCCCCCCCCCCCCCCCCCCCCCCCCCCCCCCCCCCCCCCCCCCCCCCCCCCCCCCCCCCCCCCCCCCCCCCCCCCCCCCCCCCCCCCCCCCCCCCCCCCCCCCCCCCCCCCCCCCCCCCCCCCCCCCCCCCCCCCCCCCCCCCCCCCCCCCCCCCCCCCCCCCCCCCCCCCCCCCCCACCCCCCCCCCCCCCCCCCCCCCCCCCCCCCCCCCCCCCCCCCCCCCCCCCCCCCCCCCCCCCCCCCCCCCCCCCCCCCCCCCCCCCCCCCCCCCCCCCCCCCCCCCCCCCCCCCCCCCCCCCCCCCCCCCCCCCCCCCCCCCCCCCCCCCCCCCCCCCCCCCCCCCCCCCCCCCCCCCCCCCCCCCCCCCCCCCCCCCCCCCCCCCCCCCCCCCCCCCCCCCCCCCCCCCCCCCCCCCCCCCCCCCCCCCCCCCCCCCCCCCCCCCCCCCCCCCCCCCCCCCCCCCCCCCCCCCCCCCCCCCCCCCCCCCCCCCCCCCCCCCCCCCCCCCCCCCCCCCCCCCCCCCCCCCCCCCCCCCCCCCCCCCCCCCCCCCCCCCCCCCCCCCCCCCCCCCCCCCCCCCCCCCCCCCCCCCCCCCCCCCCCCCCCCCCCCCCCCCCCCCCCCCCCCCCCCCCCCCCCCCCCCCCCCCCCCCCCCCCCCCCCCCCCCCCCCCCCCCCCCCCCCCCCCCCCCCCCCCCCCCCCCCCCCCCCCCCCCCCCCCCCCCCCCCCCCCCCCCCCCCCCCCCCCCCCCCCCCCCCCCCCCCCCCCCCCCCCCCCCCCCCCCCCCCCCCCCCCCCCCCCCCCCCCCCCCCCCCCCCCCCCCCCCCCCCCCCCCCCCCCCCCCCCCCCCCCCCCCCCCCCCCCCCCCCCCCCCCCCCCCCCCCCCCCCCCCCCCCCCCCCCCCCCCCCCCCCCCCCCCCCCCCCCCCCCCCCCCCCCCCCCCCCCCCCCCCCCCCCCCCCCCCCCCCCCCCCCCCCCCCCCCCCCCCCCCCCCCCCCCCCCCCCCCCCCCCCCCCCCCCCCCCCCCCCCCCCCCCCCCCCCCCCCCCCCCCCCCCCCCCCCCCCCCCCCCCCCCCCCCCCCCCCCCCCCCCCCCCCCCCCCCCCCCCCCCCCCCCCCCCCCCCCCCCCCCCCCCCCCCCCCCCCCCCCCCCCCCCCCCCCCCCCCCCCCCCCCCCCCCCCCCCCCCCCCCCCCCCCCCCCCCCCCCCCCCCCCCCCCCCCCCCCCCCCCCCCCCCCCCCCCCCCCCCCCCCCCCCCCCCCCCCCCCCCCCCCCCCCCCCCCCCCCCCCCCCCCCCCCCCCCCCCCCCCCCCCCCCCCCCCCCCCCCCCCCCCCCCCCCCCCCCCCCCCCCCCCCCCCCCCCCCCCCCCCCCCCCCCCCCCCCCCCCCCCCCCCCCCCCCCCCCCCCCCCCCCCCCCCCCCCCCCCCCCCCCCCCCCCCCCCCCCCCCCCCCCCCCCCCCCCCCCCCCCCCCCCCCCCCCCCCCCCCCCCCCCCCCCCCCCCCCCCCCCCCCCCCCCCCCCCCCCCCCCCCCCCCCCCCCCCCCCCCCCCCCCCCCCCCCCCCCCCCCCCCCCCCCCCCCCCCCCCCCCCCCCCCCCCCCCCCCCCCCCCCCCCCCCCCCCCCCCCCCCCCCCCCCCCCCCCCCCCCCCCCCCCCCCCCCCCCCCCCCCCCCCCCCCCCCCCCCCCCCCCCCCCCCCCCCCCCCCCCCCCCCCCCCCCCCACCCCCCCCCCCCCCCCCCCCCCCCCCCCCCCCCCCCCCCCCCCCCCCCCCCCCCCCCCCCCCCCCCCCCCCCCCCCCCCCCCCCCCCCCCCCCCCCCCCCCCCCCCCCCCCCCCCCCCCCCCCCCCCCCCCCCCCCCCCCCCCCCCCCCCCCCCCCCCCCCCCCCCCCCCCCCCCCCCCCCCCCCCCCCCCCCCCCCCCCCCCCCCCCCCCCCCCCCCCCCCCCCCCCCCCCCCCCCCCCCCCCCCCCCCCCCCCCCCCCCCCCCCCCCCCCCCCCCCCCCCCCCCCCCCCCCCCCCCCCCCCCCCCCCCCCCCCCCCCCCCCCCCCCCCCCCCCCCCCCCCCCCCCCCCCCCCCCCCCCCCCCCCCCCCCCCCCCCCCCCCCCCCCCCCCCCCCCCCCCCCCCCCCCCCCCCCCCCCCCCCCCCCCCCCCCCCCCCCCCCCCCCCCCCCCCCCCCCCCCCCCCCCCCCCCCCCCCCCCCCCCCCCCCCCCCCCCCCCCCCCCCCCCCCCCCCCCCCCCCCCCCCCCCCCCTCCCCCCCCCCCCCCCCCCCCCCCCCCCCCCCCCCCCCCCCCCCCCCCCCCCCCCCCCCCCCCCCCCCCCCCCCCCCCCCCCCCCCCCCCCCCCCCCCCCCCCCCCCCCCCCCCCCCCCCCCCCCCCCCCCCCCCCCCCCCCCCCCCCCCCCCCCCCCCCCCCCCCCCCCCCCCCCCCCCCCCCCCCCCCCCCCCCCCCCCCCCCCCCCCCCCCCCCCCCCCCCCCCCCCCCCCCCCCCCCCCCCCCCCCCCCCCCCCCCCCCCCCCCCCCCCCCCCCCCCCCCCCCCCCCCCCCCCCCCCCCCCCCCCCCCCCCCCCCCCCCCCCCCCCCCCCCCCCCCCCCCCCCCCCCCCCCCCCCCCCCCCCCTCTCCCCCCCCCCCCCCCCCCCCCCCCCCCCCCCCCCCCCCCCCCCCCCCCCCCCCCCCCCCCCCCCCCCCCCCCCCCCCCCCCCCCCCCCCCCCCCCCCCCCCCCCCCCCCCCCCCCCCCCCCCCCCCCCCCCCCCCCCCCCCCCCCCCCCCCCCCCCCCCCCCCCCCCCCCCCCCCCCCCCCCCCCCCCCCCCCCCCCCCCCCCCCCCCCCCCCCCCCCCCCCCCCCCCCCCCCCCCCCCCCCCCCCCCCCCCCCCCCCCCCCCCCCCCCCCCCCCCCCCCCCCCCCCCCCCCCCCCCCCCCCCCCCCCCCCCCCCCCCCCCCCCCCCCCCCCCCCCCCCCCCCCCCCCCCCCCCCCCCCCCCCCCCCCCCCCCCCCCCCCCCCCCCCCCCCCCCCCCCCCCCCCCCCCCCCCCCACCCCCCCCCCCCCCCCCCCCCCCCCCCCCCCCCCCCCCCCCCCCCCCCCCCCCCCCCCCCCCCCCCCCCCCCCCCCCCCCCCCCCCCCCCCCCCCCCCCCCCCCCCCCCCCCCCCCCCCCCCCCCCCCCCCCCCCCCCCCCCCCCCCCCCCCCCCCCCCCCCCCCCCCCCCCCCCCCCCCCCCCCCCCCCCCCCCCCCCCCCCCCCCCCCCCCCCCCCCCCCCCCCCCCCCCCCCCCCCCCCCCCCCCCCCCCCCCCCCCCCCCCCCCCCCCCCCCCCCCCCCCCCCCCCCCCCCCCCCCCCCCCCCCCCCCCCCCCCCCCCCCCCCCCCCCCCCCCCCCCCCCCCCCCCCCCCCCCCCCCCCCCCCCCCCCCCCCCCCCCCCCCCCCCCCCCCCCCCCCCCCCCCCCCCCCCCCCCCCCCCCCCCCCCCCCCCCCCCCCCCCCCCCCCCCCCCCCCCCCCCCCCCCCCCCCCCCCCCCCCCCCCCCCCCCCCCCCCCCCCCCCCCCCCCCCCCCCCCCCCCCCCCCCCCCCCCCCCCCCCCCCCCACCCCCCCCCCCCCCCCCCCCCCCCCCCCCCCCCCCCCCCCCCCCCCCCCCCCCCCCCCCCCCCCCCCCCCCCCCCCCCCCCCCCCCCCCCCCCCCCCCCCCCCCCCCCCCCCCCCCCCCCCCCCCCCCCCCCCCCCCCCCCCCCCCCCCCCCCCCCCCCCCCCCCCCCCCCCCCCCCCCCCCCCCCCCCCCCCCCCCCCCCCCCCCCCCCCCCCCCCCCCCCCCCCCCCCCCCCCCCCCCCCCCCCCCCCCCCCCCCCCCCCCCCCCCCCCCCCCCCCCCCCCCCCCCCCCCCCCCCCCCCCCCCCCCCCCCCCCCCCCCCCCCCCCCCCCCCCCCCCCCCCCCCCCCCCCCCCCCCCCCCCCCCCCCCCCCCCCCCCCCCCCCCCCCCCCCCCCCCCCCCCCCCCCCCCCCCCCCCCCCCCCCCCCCCCCCCCCCCCCCCCCCCCCCCCCCCCCCCCCCCCCCCCCCCCCCCCCCCCCCCCCCCCCCCCCCCCCCCCCCCCCCCCCCCCCCCCCCCCCCCCCCCCCCCCCCCCCCCCCCCCCCCCCCCCCCCCCCCCCCCCCCCCCCCCCCCCCCCCCCCCCCCCCCCCCCCCCCCCCCCCCCCCCCCCCCCCCCCCCCCCCCCCCCCCCCCCCCCCCCCCCCCCCCCCCCCCCCCCCCCCCCCCCCCCCCCCCCCCCCCCCCCCCCCCCCCCCCCCCCCCCCCCCCCCCCCCCCCCCCCCCCCCCCCCCCCCCCCCCCCCCCCCCCCCCCCCCCCCCCCCCCCCCCCCCCCCCCCCCCCCCCCCCCCCCCCCCCCCCCCCCCCCCCCCCCCCCCCCCCCCCCCCCCCCCCCCCCCCCCCCCCCCCCCCCCCCCCCCCCCCCCCCCCCCCCCCCCCCCCCCCCCCCCCCCCCCCCCCCCCCCCCCCCCCCCCCCCCCCCCCCCCCCCCCCCCCCCCCCCCCCCCCCCCCCCCCCCCCCCCCCCCCCCCCCCCCCCCCCCCCCCCCCCCCCCCCCCCCCCCCCCCCCCCCCCCCCCCCCCCCCCCCCCCCCCCCCCCCCCCCCCCCCCCCCCCCCCCCCCCCCCCCCCCCCCCCCCCCCCCCCCCCCCCCCCCCCCCCCCCCCCCCCCCCCCCCCCCCCCCCCCCCCCCCCCCCCCCCCCCCCCCCCCCCCCCCCCCCCCCCCCCCCCCCCCCCCCCCCCCCCCCCCCCCCCCCCCCCCCCCCCCCCCCCCCCCCCCCCCCCCCCCCCCCCCCCCCCCCCCCCCCCCCCCCCCCCCCCCCCCCCCCCCCCCCCCCCCCCCCCCCCCCCCCCCCCCCCCCCCCCCCCCCCCCCCCCCCCCCCCCCCCCCCCCCCCCCCCCCCCCCCCCCCCCCCCCCCCCCCCCCCCCCCCCCCCCCCCCCCCCCCCCCCCCCCCCCCCCCCCCCCCCCCCCCCCCCCCCCCCCCCCCCCCCCCCCCCCCCCCCCCCCCCCCCCCCCCCCCCCCCCCCCCCCCCCCCCCCCCCCCCCCCCCCCCCCCCCCCCCCCCCCCCCCCCCCCCCCCCCCCCCCCCCCCCCCCCCCCCCCCCCCCCCCCCCCCCCCCCCCCCCCCCCCCCCCCCCCCCCCCCCCCCCCCCCCCCCCCCCCCCCCCCCCCCCCCCCCCCCCCCCCCCCCCCCCCCCCCCCCCCCCCCCCCCCCCCCCCCCCCCCCCCCCCCCCCCCCCCCCCCCCCCCCCCCCCCCCCCCCCCCCCCCCCCCCCCCCCCCCCCCCCCCCCCCCCCCCCCCCCCCCCCCCCCCCCCCCCCCCCCCCCCCCCCCCCCCCCCCCCCCCCCCCCCCCCCCCCCCCCCCCCCCCCCCCCCCCCCCCCCCCCCCCCCCCCCCCCCCCCCCCCCCCCCCCCCCCCCCCCCCCCCCCCCCCCCCCCCCCCCCCCCCCCCCCCCCCCCCCCCCCCCCCCCCCCCCCCCCCCCCCCCCCCCCCCCCCCCCCCCCCCCCCCCCCCCCCCCCCCCCCCCCCCCCCCCCCCCCCCCCCCCCCCCCCCCCCCCCCCCCCCCCCCCCCCCCCCCCCCCCCCCCCCCCCCCCCCCCCCCCCCCCCCCCCCCCCCCCCCCCCCCCCCCCCCCCCCCCCCCCCCCCCCCCCCCCCCCCCCCCCCCCCCCCCCCCCCCCCCCCCCCCCCCCCCCCCCCCCCCCCCCCCCCCCCCCCCCCCCCCCCCCCCCCCCCCCCCCCCCCCCCCCCCCCCCCCCCCCCCCCCCCCCCCCCCCCCCCCCCCCCCCCCCCCCCCCCCCCCCCCCCCCCCCCCCCCCCCCCCCCCCCCCCCCCCCCCCCCCCCCCCCCCCCCCCCCCCCCCCCCCCCCCCCCCCCCCCCCCCCCCCCCCCCCCCCCCCCCCCCCCCCCCCCCCCCCCCCCCCCCCCCCCCCCCCCCCCCCCCCCCCCCCCCCCCCCCCCCCCCCCCCCCCCCCCCCCCCCCCCCCCCCCCCCCCCCCCCCCCCCCCCCCCCCCCCCCCCCCCCCCCCCCCCCCCCCCCCCCCCCCCCCCCCCCCCCCCCCCCCCCCCCCCCCCCCCCCCCCCCCCCCCCCCCCCCCCCCCCCCCCCCCCCCCCCCCCCCCCCCCCCCCCCCCCCCCCCCCCCCCCCCCCCCCCCCCCCCCCCCCCCCCCCCCCCCCCCCCCCCCCCCCCCCCCCCCCCCCCCCCCCCCCCCCCCCCCCCCCCCCCCCCCCCCCCCCCCCCCCCCCCCCCCCCCCCCCCCCCCCCCCCCCCCCCCCCCCCCCCCCCCCCCCCCCCCCCCCCCCCCCCCCCCCCCCCCCCCCCCCCCCCCCCCCCCCCCCCCCCCCCCCCCCCCCCCCCCCCCCCCCCCCCCCCCCCCCCCCCCCCCCCCCCCCCCCCCCCCCCCCCCCCCCCCCCCCCCCCCCCCCCCCCCCCCCCCCCCCCCCCCCCCCCCCCCCCCCCCCCCCCCCCCCCCCCCCCCCCCCCCCCCCCCCCCCCCCCCCCCCCCCCCCCCCCCCCCCCCCCCCCCCCCCCCCCCCCCCCCCCCCCCCCCCCCCCCCCCCCCCCCCCCCCCCCCCCCCCCCCCCCCCCCCCCCCCCCCCCCCCCCCCCCCCCCCCCCCCCCCCCCCCCCCCCCCCCCCCCCCCCCCCCCCCCCCCCCCCCCCCCCCCCCCCCCCCCCCCCCCCCCCCCCCCCCCCCCCCCCCCCCCCCCCCCCCCCCCCCCCCCCCCCCCCCCCCCCCCCCCCCCCCCCCCCCCCCCCCCCCCCCCCCCCCCCCCCCCCCCCCCCCCCCCCCCCCCCCCCCCCCCCCCCCCCCCCCCCCCCCCCCCCCCCCCCCCCCCCCCCCCCCCCCCCCCCCCCCCCCCCCCCCCCCCCCCCCCCCCCCCCCCCCCCCCCCCCCCCCCCCCCCCCCCCCCCCCCCCCCCCCCCCCCCCCCCCCCCCCCCCCCCCCCCCCCCCCCCCCCCCCCCCCCCCCCCCCCCCCCCCCCCCCCCCCCCCCCCCCCCCCCCCCCCCCCCCCCCCCCCCCCCCCCCCCCCCCCCCCCCCCCCCCCCCCCCCCCCCCCCCCCCCCCCCCCCCCCCCCCCCCCCCCCCCCCCCCCCCCCCCCCCCCCCCCCCCCCCCCCCCCCCCCCCCCCCCCCCCCCCCCCCCCCCCCCCCCCCCCCCCCCCCCCCCCCCCCCCCCCCCCCCCCCCCCCCCCCCCCCCCCCCCCCCCCCCCCCCCCCCCCCCCCCCCCCCCCCCCCCCCCCCCCCCCCCCCCCCCCCCCCCCCCCCCCCCCCCCCCCCCCCCCCCCCCCCCCCCCCCCCCCCCCCCCCCCCCCCCCCCCCCCCCCCCCCCCCCCCCCCCCCCCCCCCCCCCCCCCCCCCCCCCCCCCCCCCCCCCCCCCCCCCCCCCCCCCCCCCCCCCCCCCCCCCCCCCCCCCCCCCCCCCCCCCCCCCCCCCCCCCCCCCCCCCCCCCCCCCCCCCCCCCCCCCCCCCCCCCCCCCCCCCCCCCCCCCCCCCCCCCCCCCCCCCCCCCCCCCCCCCCCCCCCCCCCCCCCCCCCCCCCCCCCCCCCCCCCCCCCCCCCCCCCCCCCCCCCCCCCCCCCCCCCCCCCCCCCCCCCCCCCCCCCCCCCCCCCCCCCCCCCCCCCCCCCCCCCCCCCCCCCCCCCCCCCCCCCCCCCCCCCCCCCCCCCCCCCCCCCCCCCCCCCCCCCCCCCCCCCCCCCCCCCCCCCCCCCCCCCCCCCCCCCCCCCCCCCCCCCCCCCCCCCCCCCCCCCCCCCCCCCCCCCCCCCCCCCCCCCCCCCCCCCCCCCCCCCCCCCCCCCCCCCCCCCCCCCCCCCCCCCCCCCCCCCCCCCCCCCCCCCCCCCCCCCCCCCCCCCCCCCCCCCCCCCCCCCCCCCCCCCCCCCCCCCCCCCCCCCCCCCCCCCCCCCCCCCCCCCCCCCCCCCCCCCCCCCCCCCCCCCCCCCCCCCCCCCCCCCCCCCCCCCCCCCCCCCCCCCCCCCCCCCCCCCCCCCCCCCCCCCCCCCCCCCCCCCCCCCCCCCCCCCCCCCCCCCCCCCCCCCCCCCCCCCCCCCCCCCCCCCCCCCCCCCCCCCCCCCCCCCCCCCCCCCCCCCCCCCCCCCCCCCCCCCCCCCCCCCCCCCCCCCCCCCCCCCCCCCCCCCCCCCCCCCCCCCCCCCCCCCCCCCCCCCCCCCCCCCCCCCCCCCCCCCCCCCCCCCCCCCCCCCCCCCCCCCCCCCCCCCCCCCCCCCCCCCCCCCCCCCCCCCCCCCCCCCCCCCCCCCCCCCCCCCCCCCCCCCCCCCCCCCCCCCCCCCCCCCCCCCCCCCCCCCCCCCCCCCCCCCCCCCCCCCCCCCCCCCCCCCCCCCCCCCCCCCCCCCCCCCCCCCCCCCCCCCCCCCCCCCCCCCCCCCCCCCCCCCCCCCCCCCCCCCCCCCCCCCCCCCCCCCCCCCCCCCCCCCCCCCCCCCCCCCCCCCCCCCCCCCCCCCCCCCCCCCCCCCCCCCCCCCCCCCCCCCCCCCCCCCCCCCCCCCCCCCCCCCCCCCCCCCCCCCCCCCCCCCCCCCCCCCCCCCCCCCCCCCCCCCCCCCCCCCCCCCCCCCCCCCCCCCCCCCCCCCCCCCCCCCCCCCCCCCCCCCCCCCCCCCCCCCCCCCCCCCCCCCCCCCCCCCCCCCCCCCCCCCCCCCCCCCCCCCCCCCCCCCCCCCCCCCCCCCCCCCCCCCCCCCCCCCCCCCCCCCCCCCCCCCCCCCCCCCCCCCCCCCCCCCCCCCCCCCCCCCCCCCCCCCCCCCCCCCCCCCCCCCCCCCCCCCCCCCCCCCCCCCCCCCCCCCCCCCCCCCCCCCCCCCCCCCCCCCCCCCCCCCCCCCCCCCCCCCCCCCCCCCCCCCCCCCCCCCCCCCCCCCCCCCCCCCCCCCCCCCCCCCCCCCCCCCCCCCCCCCCCCCCCCCCCCCCCCCCCCCCCCCCCCCCCCCCCCCCCCCCCCCCCCCCCCCCCCCCCCCCCCCCCCCCCCCCCCCCCCCCCCCCCCCCCCCCCCCCCCCCCCCCCCCCCCCCCCCCCCCCCCCCCCCCCCCCCCCCCCCCCCCCCCCCCCCCCCCCCCCCCCCCCCCCCCCCCCCCCCCCCCCCCCCCCCCCCCCCCCCCCCCCCCCCCCCCCCCCCCCCCCCCCCCCCCCCCCCCCCCCCCCCCCCCCCCCCCCCCCCCCCCCCCCCCCCCCCCCCCCCCCCCCCCCCCCCCCCCCCCCCCCCCCCCCCCCCCCCCCCCCCCCCCCCCCCCCCCCCCCCCCCCCCCCCCCCCCCCCCCCCCCCCCCCCCCCCCCCCCCCCCCCCCCCCCCCCCCCCCCCCCCCCCCCCCCCCCCCCCCCCCCCCCCCCCCCCCCCCCCCCCCCCCCCCCCCCCCCCCCCCCCCCCCCCCCCCCCCCCCCCCCCCCCCCCCCCCCCCCCCCCCCCCCCCCCCCCCCCCCCCCCCCCCCCCCCCCCCCCCCCCCCCCCCCCCCCCCCCCCCCCCCCCCCCCCCCCCCCCCCCCCCCCCCCCCCCCCCCCCCCCCCCCCCCCCCCCCCCCCCCCCCCCCCCCCCCCCCCCCCCCCCCCCCCCCCCCCCCCCCCCCCCCCCCCCCCCCCCCCCCCCCCCCCCCCCCCCCCCCCCCCCCCCCCCCCCCCCCCCCCCCCCCCCCCCCCCCCCCCCCCCCCCCCCCCCCCCCCCCCCCCCCCCCCCCCCCCCCCCCCCCCCCCCCCCCCCCCCCCCCCCCCCCCCCCCCCCCCCCCCCCCCCCCCCCCCCCCCCCCCCCCCCCCCCCCCCCCCCCCCCCCCCCCCCCCCCCCCCCCCCCCCCCCCCCCCCCCCCCCCCCCCCCCCCCCCCCCCCCCCCCCCCCCCCCCCCCCCCCCCCCCCCCCCCCCCCCCCCCCCCCCCCCCCCCCCCCCCCCCCCCCCCCCCCCCCCCCCCCCCCCCCCCCCCCCCCCCCCCCCCCCCCCCCCCCCCCCCCCCCCCCCCCCCCCCCCCCCCCCCCCCCCCCCCCCCCCCCCCCCCCCCCCCCCCCCCCCCCCCCCCCCCCCCCCCCCCCCCCCCCCCCCCCCCCCCCCCCCCCCCCCCCCCCCCCCCCCCCCCCCCCCCCCCCCCCCCCCCCCCCCCCCCCCCCCCCCCCCCCCCCCCCCCCCCCCCCCCCCCCCCCCCCCCCCCCCCCCCCCCCCCCCCCCCCCCCCCCCCCCCCCCCCCCCCCCCCCCCCCCCCCCCCCCCCCCCCCCCCCCCCCCCCCCCCCCCCCCCCCCCCCCCCCCCCCCCCCCCCCCCCCCCCCCCCCCCCCCCCCCCCCCCCCCCCCCCCCCCCCCCCCCCCCCCCCCCCCCCCCCCCCCCCCCCCCCCCCCCCCCCCCCCCCCCCCCCCCCCCCCCCCCCCCCCCCCCCCCCCCCCCCCCCCCCCCCCCCCCCCCCCCCCCCCCCCCCCCCCCCCCCCCCCCCCCCCCCCCCCCCCCCCCCCCCCCCCCCCCCCCCCCCCCCCCCCCCCCCCCCCCCCCCCCCCCCCCCCCCCCCCCCCCCCCCCCCCCCCCCCCCCCCCCCCCCCCCCCCCCCCCCCCCCCCCCCCCCCCCCCCCCCCCCCCCCCCCCCCCCCCCCCCCCCCCCCCCCCCCCCCCCCCCCCCCCCCCCCCCCCCCCCCCCCCCCCCCCCCCCCCCCCCCCCCCCCCCCCCCCCCCCCCCCCCCCCCCCCCCCCCCCCCCCCCCCCCCCCCCCCCCCCCCCCCCCCCCCCCCCCCCCCCCCCCCCCCCCCCCCCCCCCCCCCCCCCCCCCCCCCCCCCCCCCCCCCCCCCCCCCCCCCCCCCCCCCCCCCCCCCCCCCCCCCCCCCCCCCCCCCCCCCCCCCCCCCCCCCCCCCCCCCCCCCCCCCCCCCCCCCCCCCCCCCCCCCCCCCCCCCCCCCCCCCCCCCCCCCCCCCCCCCCCCCCCCCCCCCCCCCCCCCCCCCCCCCCCCCCCCCCCCCCCCCCCCCCCCCCCCCCCCCCCCCCCCCCCCCCCCCCCCCCCCCCCCCCCCCCCCCCCCCCCCCCCCCCCCCCCCCCCCCCCCCCCCCCCCCCCCCCCCCCCCCCCCCCCCCCCCCCCCCCCCCCCCCCCCCCCCCCCCCCCCCCCCCCCCCCCCCCCCCCCCCCCCCCCCCCCCCCCCCCCCCCCCCCCCCCCCCCCCCCCCCCCCCCCCCCCCCCCCCCCCCCCCCCCCCCCCCCCCCCCCCCCCCCCCCCCCCCCCCCCCCCCCCCCCCCCCCCCCCCCCCCCCCCCCCCCCCCCCCCCCCCCCCCCCCCCCCCCCCCCCCCCCCCCCCCCCCCCCCCCCCCCCCCCCCCCCCCCCCCCCCCCCCCCCCCCCCCCCCCCCCCCCCCCCCCCCCCCCCCCCCCCCCCCCCCCCCCCCCCCCCCCCCCCCCCCCCCCCCCCCCCCCCCCCCCCCCCCCCCCCCCCCCCCCCCCCCCCCCCCCCCCCCCCCCCCCCCCCCCCCCCCCCCCCCCCCCCCCCCCCCCCCCCCCCCCCCCCCCCCCCCCCCCCCCCCCCCCCCCCCCCCCCCCCCCCCCCCCCCCCCCCCCCCCCCCCCCCCCCCCCCCCCCCCCCCCCCCCCCCCCCCCCCCCCCCCCCCCCCCCCCCCCCCCCCCCCCCCCCCCCCCCCCCCCCCCCCCCCCCCCCCCCCCCCCCCCCCCCCCCCCCCCCCCCCCCCCCCCCCCCCCCCCCCCCCCCCCCCCCCCCCCCCCCCCCCCCCCCCCCCCCCCCCCCCCCCCCCCCCCCCCCCCCCCCCCCCCCCCCCCCCCCCCCCCCCCCCCCCCCCCCCCCCCCCCCCCCCCCCCCCCCCCCCCCCCCCCCCCCCCCCCCCCCCCCCCCCCCCCCCCCCCCCCCCCCCCCCCCCCCCCCCCCCCCCCCCCCCCCCCCCCCCCCCCCCCCCCCCCCCCCCCCCCCCCCCCCCCCCCCCCCCCCCCCCCCCCCCCCCCCCCCCCCCCCCCCCCCCCCCCCCCCCCCCCCCCCCCCCCCCCCCCCCCCCCCCCCCCCCCCCCCCCCCCCCCCCCCCCCCCCCCCCCCCCCCCCCCCCCCCCCCCCCCCCCCCCCCCCCCCCCCCCCCCCCCCCCCCCCCCCCCCCCCCCCCCCCCCCCCCCCCCCCCCCCCCCCCCCCCCCCCCCCCCCCCCCCCCCCCCCCCCCCCCCCCCCCCCCCCCCCCCCCCCCCCCCCCCCCCCCCCCCCCCCCCCCCCCCCCCCCCCCCCCCCCCCCCCCCCCCCCCCCCCCCCCCCCCCCCCCCCCCCCCCCCCCCCCCCCCCCCCCCCCCCCCCCCCCCCCCCCCCCCCCCCCCCCCCCCCCCCCCCCCCCCCCCCCCCCCCCCCCCCCCCCCCCCCCCCCCCCCCCCCCCCCCCCCCCCCCCCCCCCCCCCCCCCCCCCCCCCCCCCCCCCCCCCCCCCCCCCCCCCCCCCCCCCCCCCCCCCCCCCCCCCCCCCCCCCCCCCCCCCCCCCCCCCCCCCCCCCCCCCCCCCCCCCCCCCCCCCCCCCCCCCCCCCCCCCCCCCCCCCCCCCCCCCCCCCCCCCCCCCCCCCCCCCCCCCCCCCCCCCCCCCCCCCCCCCCCCCCCCCCCCCCCCCCCCCCCCCCCCCCCCCCCCCCCCCCCCCCCCCCCCCCCCCCCCCCCCCCCCCCCCCCCCCCCCCCCCCCCCCCCCCCCCCCCCCCCCCCCCCCCCCCCCCCCCCCCCCCCCCCCCCCCCCCCCCCCCCCCCCCCCCCCCCCCCCCCCCCCCCCCCCCCCCCCCCCCCCCCCCCCCCCCCCCCCCCCCCCCCCCCCCCCCCCCCCCCCCCCCCCCCCCCCCCCCCCCCCCCCCCCAACCCCCCCCCCCCCCCCCCCCCCCCCCCCCCCCCCCCCCCCCCCCCCCCCCCCCCCCCCCCCCCCCCCCCCCCCCCCCCCCCCCCCCCCCCCCCCCCCCCCCCCCCCCCCCCCCCCCCCCCCCCCCCCCCCCCCCCCCCCCCCCCCCCCCCCCCCCCCCCCCCCCCCCCCCCCCCCCCCCCCCCCCCCCCCCCCCCCCCCCCCCCCCCCCCCCCCCCCCCCCCCCCCCCCCCCCCCCCCCCCCCCCCCCCCCCCCCCCCCCCCCCCCCCCCCCCCCCCCCCCCCCCCCCCCCCCCCCCCCCCCCCCCCCCCCCCCCCCCCCCCCCCCCCCCCCCCCCCCCCCCCCCCCCCCCCCCCCCCCCCCCCCCCCCCCCCCCCCCCCCCCCCCCCCCCCCCCCCCCCCCCCCCCCCCCCCCCCCCCCCCCCCCCCCCCCCCCCCCCCCCCCCCCCCCCCCCCCCCCCCCCCCCCCCCCCCCCCCCCCCCCCCCCCCCCCCCCCCCCCCCCCCCCCCCCCCCCCCCCCCCCCCCCCCCCCCCCCCCCCCCCCCCCCCCCCCCCCCCCCCCCCCCCCCCCCCCCCCCCCCACCCCCCCCCCCCCCCCCCCCCCCCCCCCCCCCCCCCCCCCCCCCCCCCCCCCCCCCCCCCCCCCCCCCCCCCCCCCCCCCCCCCCCCCCCCCCCCCCCCCCCCCCCCCCCCCCCCCCCCCCCCCCCCCCCCCCCCCCCCCCCCCCCCCCCCCCCCCCCCCCCCCCCCCCCCCCCCCCCCCCCCCCCCCCCCCCCCCCCCCCCCCCCCCCCCCCCCCCCCCCCCCCCCCCCCCCCCCCCCCCCCCCCCCCCCCCCCCCCCCCCCCCCCCCCCCCCCCCCCCCCCCCCCCCCCCCCCCCCCCCCCCCCCCCCCCCCCCCCCCCCCCCCCCCCCCCCCCCCCCCCCCCCCCCCCCCCCCCCCCCCCCCCCCCCCCCCCCCCCCCCCCCCCCCCCCCCCCCCCCCCCCCCCCCCCCCCCCCCCCCCCCCCCCCCCCCCCCCCCCCCCCCCCCCCCCCCCCCCCCCCCCCCCCCCCCCCCCCCCCCCCCCCCCCCCCCCCCCCCCCCCCCCCCCCCCCCCCCCCCCCCCCCCCCCCCCCCCCCCCCCCCCCCCCCCCCCCCCCCCCCCCCCCCCCCCCCCCCCCCCCCCCCCCCCCCCCCCCCCCCCCCCCCCCCCCCCCCCCCCCCCCCCCCCCCCCCCCCCCCCCCCCCCCCCCCCCCCCCCCCCCCCCCCCCCCCCCCCCCCCCCCCCCCCCCCCCCCCCCCCCCCCCCCCCCCCCCCCCCCCCCCCCCCCCCCCCCCCCCCCCCCCCCCCCCCCCCCCCCCCCCCCCCCCCCCCCCCCCCCCCCCCCCCCCCCCCCCCCCCCCCCCCCCCCCCCCCCCCCCCCCCCCCCCCCCCCCCCCCCCCCCCCCCCCCCCCCCCCCCCCCCCCCCCCCCCCCCCCCCCCCCCCCCCCCCCCCCCCCCCCCCCCCCCCCCCCCCCCCCCCCCCCCCCCCCCCCCCCCCCCCCCCCCCCCCCCCCCCCCCCCCCCCCCCCCCCCCCCCCCCCCCCCCCCCCCCCCCCCCCCCCCCCCCCCCCCCCCCCCCCCCCCCCCCCCCCCCCCCCCCCCCCCCCCCCCCCCCCCCCCCCCCCCCCCCCCCCCCCCCCCCCCCCCCCCCCCCCCCCCCCCCCCCCCCCCCCCCCCCCCCCCCCCCCCCCCCCCCCCCCCCCCCCCCCCCCCCCCCCCCCCCCCCCCCCCCCCCCCCCCCCCCCCCCCCCCCCCCCCCCCCCCCCCCCCCCCCCCCCCCCCCCCCCCCCCCCCCCCCCCCCCCCCCCCCCCCCCCCCCCCCCCCCCCCCCCCCCCCCCCCCCCCCCCCCCCCCCCCCCCCCCCCCCCCCCCCCCCCCCCCCCCCCCCCCCCCCCCCCCCCCCCCCCCCCCCCCCCCCCCCCCCCCCCCCCCCCCCCCCCCCCCCCCCCCCCCCCCCCCCCCCCCCCCCCCCCCCCCCCCCCCCCCCCCCCCCCCCCCCCCCCCCCCCCCCCCCCCCCCCCCCCCCCCCCCCCCCCCCCCCCCCCCCCCCCCCCCCCCCCCCCCCCCCCCCCCCCCCCCCCCCCCCCCCCCCCCCCCCCCCCCCCCCCCCCCCCCCCCCCCCCCCCCCCCCCCCCCCCCCCCCCCCCCCCCCCCCCCCCCCCCCCCCCCCCCCCCCCCCCCCCCCCCCCCCCCCCCCCCCCCCCCCCCCCCCCCCCCCCCCCCCCCCCCCCCCCCCCCCCCCCCCCCCCCCCCCCCCCCCCCCCCCCCCCCCCCCCCCCCCCCCCCCCCCCCCCCCCCCCCCCCCCCCCCCCCCCCCCCCCCCCCCCCCCCCCCCCCCCCCCCCCCCCCCCCCCCCCCCCCCCCCCCCCCCCCCCCCCCCCCCCCCCCCCCCCCCCCCCCCCCCCCCCCCCCCCCCCCCCCCCCCCCCCCCCCCCCCCCCCCCCCCCCCCCCCCCCCCCCCCCCCCCCCCCCCCCCCCCCCCCCCCCCCCCCCCCCCCCCCCCCCCCCCCCCCCCCCCCCCCCCCCCCCCCCCCCCCCCCCCCCCCCCCCCCCCCCCCCCCCCCCCCCCCCCCCCCCCCCCCCCCCCCCCCCCCCCCCCCCCCCCCCCCCCCCCCCCCCCCCCCCCCCCCCCCCCCCCCCCCCCCCCCCCCCCCCCCCCCCCCCCCCCCCCCCCCCCCCCCCCCCCCCCCCCCCCCCCCCCCCCCCCCCCCCCCCCCCCCCCCCCCCCCCCCCCCCCCCCCCCCCCCCCCCCCCCCCCCCCCCCCCCCCCCCCCCCCCCCCCCCCCCCCCCCCCCCCCCCCCCCCCCCCCCCCCCCCCCCCCCCCCCCCCCCCCCCCCCCCCCCCCCCCCCCCCCCCCCCCCCCCCCCCCCCCCCCCCCCCCCCCCCCCCCCCCCCCCCCCCCCCCCCCCCCCCCCCCCCCCCCCCCCCCCCCCCCCCCCCCCCCCCCCCCCCCCCCCCCCCCCCCCCCCCCCCCCCCCCCCCCCCCCCCCCCCCCCCCCCCCCCCCCCCCCCCCCCCCCCCCCCCCCCCCCCCCCCCCCCCCCCCCCCCCCCCCCCCCCCCCCCCCCCCCCCCCCCCCCCCCCCCCCCCCCCCCCCCCCCCCCCCCCCCCCCCCCCCCCCCCCCCCCCCCCCCCCCCCCCCCCCCCCCCCCCCCCCCCCCCCCCCCCCCCCCCCCCCCCCCCCCCCCCCCCCCCCCCCCCCCCCCCCCCCCCCCCCCCCCCCCCCCCCCCCCCCCCCCCCCCCCCCCCCCCCCCCCCCCCCCCCCCCCCCCCCCCCCCCCCCCCCCCCCCCCCCCCCCCCCCCCCCCCCCCCCCCCCCCCCCCCCCCCCCCCCCCCCCCCCCCCCCCCCCCCCCCCCCCCCCCCCCCCCCCCCCCCCCCCCCCCCCCCCCCCCCCCCCCCCCCCCCCCCCCCCCCCCCCCCCCCCCCCCCCCCCCCCCCCCCCCCCCCCCCCCCCCCCCCCCCCCCCCCCCCCCCCCCCCCCCCCCCCCCCCCCCCCCCCCCCCCCCCCCCCCCCCCCCCCCCCCCCCCCCCCCCCCCCCCCCCCCCCCCCCCCCCCCCCCCCCCCCCCCCCCCCCCCCCCCCCCCCCCCCCCCCCCCCCCCCCCCCCCCCCCCCCCCCCCCCCCCCCCCCCCCCCCCCCCCCCCCCTCCCCCCCCCCCCCCCCCCCCCCCCCCCCCCCCCCCCCCCCCCCCCCCCCCCCCCCCCCCCCCCCCCCCCCCCCCCCCCCCCCCCCCCCCCCCCCCCCCCCCCCCCCCCCCCCCCCCCCCCCCCCCCCCCCCCCCCCCCCCCCCCCCCCCCCCCCCCCCCCCCCCCCCCCCCCCCCCCCCCCCCCCCCCCCCCCCCCCCCCCCCCCCCCCCCCCCCCCCCCCCCCCCCCCCCCCCCCCCCCCCCCCCCCCCCCCCCCCCCCCCCCCCCCCCCCCCCCCCCCCCCCCCCCCCCCCCCCCCCCCCCCCCCCCCCCCCCCCCCCCCCCCCCCCCCCCCCCCCCCCCCCCCCCCCCCCCCCCCCCCCCCCCCCCCCCCCCCCCCCCCCCCCCCCCCCCCCCCCCCCCCCCCCCCCCCCCCCCCCCCCCCCCCCCCCCCCCCCCCCCCCCCCCCCCCCCCCCCCCCCCCCCCCCCCCCCCCCCCCCCCCCCCCCCCCCCCCCCCCCCCCCCCCCCCCCCCCCCCCCCCCCCCCCCCCCCCCCCCCCCCCCCCCCCCCCCCCCCCCCCCCCCCCCCCCCCCCCCCCCCCCCCCCCCCCCCCCCCCCCCCCCCCCCCCACACCCCCCCCCCCCCCCCCCCCCCCCCCCCCCCCCCCCCCCCCCCCCCCCCCCCCCCCCCCCCCCCCCCCCCCCCCCCCCCCCCCCCCCCCCCCCCCCCCCCCCCCCCCCCCCCCCCCCCCCCCCCCCCCCCCCCCCCCCCCCCCCCCCCCCCCCCCCCCCCCCCCCCCCCCCCCCCCCCCCCCCCCCCCCCCCCCCCCCCCCCCCCCCCCCCCCCCCCCCCCCCCCCCCCCCCCCCCCCCCCCCCCCCCCCCCCCCCCCCCCCCCCCCCCCCCCCCCCCCCCCCCCCCCCCCCCCCCCCCCCCCCCCCCCCCCCCCCCCCCCCCCCCCCCCCCCCCCCCCCCCCCCCCCCCCCCCCCCCCCCCCCCCCCCCCCCCCCCCCCCCCCCCCCCCCCCCCCCCCCCCCCCCCCCCCCCCCCCCCCCCCCCCCCCCCCCCCCCCCCCCCCCCCCCCCCCCCCCCCCCCCCCCCCCCCCCCCCCCCCCCCCCCCCCCCCCCCCCCCCCCCCCCCCCCCCCCCCCCCCCCCCCCCCCCCCCCCCCCCCCCCCCCCCCCCCCCCCCCCCCCCCCCCCCCCCCCCCCCCCCCCCCCCCCCCCCCCCCCCCCCCCCCCCCCCCCCCCCCCCCCCCCCCCCCCCCCCCCCCCCCCCCCCCCCCCCCCCCCCCCCCCCCCCCCCACCCCCCCCCCCCCCCCCCCCCCCCCCCCCCCCCCCCCCCCCCCCCCCCCCCCCCCCCCCCCCCCCCCCCCCCCCCCCCCCCCCCCCCCCCCCCCCCCCCCCCCCCCCCCCCCCCCCCCCCCCCCCCCCCCCCCCCCCCCCCCCCCCCCCCCCCCCCCCCCCCCCCCCCCCCCCCCCCCCCCCCCCCCCCCCCCCCCCCCCCCCCCCCCCCCCCCCCCCCCCCCCCCCCCCCCCCCCCCCCCCCCCCCCCCCCCCCCCCCCCCCCCCCCCCCCCCCCCCCCCCCCCCCCCCCCACCCCCCCCCCCCCCCCCCCCCCCCCCCCCCCCCCCCCCCCCCCCCCCCCCCCCCCCCCCCCCCCCCCCCCCCCCCCCCCCCCCCCCCCCCCCCCCCCCCCCCCCCCCCCCCCCCCCCCCCCCCCCCCCCCCCCCCCCCCCCCCCCCCCCCCCCCCCCCCCCCCCCCCCCCCCCCCCCCCCCCCCCCCCCCCCCCCCCCCCCCCCCCCCCCCCCCCCCCCCCCCCCCCCCCCCCCCCCCCCCCCCCCCCCCCCCCCCCCCCCCCCCCCCCCCCCCCCCCCCCCCCCCCCCCCCCCCCCCCCCCCCCCCCCCCCCCCCCCCCCCCCCCCCCCCCCCCCCCCCCCCCCCCCCCCCCCCCCCCCCCCCCCCCCCCCCCCCCCCCCCCCCCCCCCCCCCCCCCCCCCCCCCCCCCCCCCCCCCCCCCCCCCCCCCCCCCCCCCCCCCCCCCCCCCCCCCCCCCCCCCCCCCCCCCCCCCCCCCCCCCCCCCCCCCCCCCCCCCCCCCCCCCCCCCCCCCCCCCCCCCCCCCCCCCCCCCCCCCCCCCCCCCCCCCCCCCCCCCCCCCCCCCCCCCCCCCCCCCCCCCCCCCCCCCCCCCCCCCCCCCCCCCCCCCCCCCCCCCCCCCCCCCCCCCCCCCCCCCCCCCCCCCCCCCCCCCCCCCCCCCCCCCCCCCCCCCCCCTCCCCCCCCCCCCCCCCCCCCCCCCCCCCCCCCCCCCCCCCCCCCCCCCCCCCCCCCCCCCCCCCCCCCCCCCCCCCCCCCCCCCCCCCCCCCCCCCCCCCCCCCCCCCCCCCCCCCCCCCCCCCCCCCCCCCCCCCCCCCCCCCCCCCCCCCCCCCCCCCCCCCCCCCCCCCCCCCCCCCCCCCCCCCCCCCCCCCCCCCCCCCCCCCCCCCCCCCCCCCCCCCCCCCCCCCCCCCCCCCCCCCCCCCCCCCCCCCCCCCCCCCCCCCCCCCCCCCCCCCCCCCCCCCCCCCCCCCCCCCCCCCCCCCCCCCCCCCCCCCCCCCCCCCCCCCCCCCCCCCCCCCCCCCCCCCCCCCCCCCCCCCCCCCCCCCCCCCCCCCCCCCCCCCCCCCCCCCCCCCCCCCCCCCCCCCCCCCCCCCCCCCCCCCCCCCCCCCCCCCCCCCCCCCCCCCCCCCCCCCCCCCCCCCCCCCCCCCCCCCCCCCCCCCCCCCCCCCCCCCCCCCCCCCCCCCCCCCCCCCCCCCCCCCCCCCCCCCCCCCCCCCCCCCCCCCCCCCCCCCCCCCCCCCCCCCCCCCCCCCCCCCCCCCCCCCCCCCCCCCCCCCCCCCCCCCCCCCCCCCCCCCCCCCCCCCCCCCCCCCCCCCCCCCCCCCCCCCCCCCCCCCCCCCCCCCCCCCCCCCCCCCCCCCCCCCCCCCCCCCCCCCCCCCCCCCCCCCCCCCCCCCCCCCCCCCCCCCCCCCCCCCCCCCCCCCCCCCCCCCCCCCCCCCCCCCCCCCCCCCCCCCCCCCCCCCCCCCCCCCCCCCCCCCCCCCCCCCCCCCCCCCCCCCCCCCCCCCCCCCCCCCCCCCCCCCCCCCCCCCCCCCCCCCCCCCCCCCCCCCCCCCCCCCCCCCCCCCCCCCCCCCCCCCCCCCCCCCCCCCCCCCCCCCCCCCCCCCCCCCCCCCCCCCCCCCCCCCCCCCCCCCCCCCCCCCCCCCCCCCCCCCCCCCCCCCCCCCCCCCCCCCCCCCCCCCCCCCCCCCCCCCCCCCCCCCCCCCCCCCCCCCCCCCCCCCCCCCCCCCCCCCACCCCCCCCCCCCCCCCCCCCCCCCCCCCCCCCCCCCCCCCCCCCCCCCCCCCCCCCCCCCCCCCCCCCCCCCCCCCCCCCCCCCCCCCCCCCCCCCCCCCCCCCCCCCCCCCCCCCCCCCCCCCCCCCCCCCCCCCCCCCCCCCCCCCCCCCCCCCCCCCCCCCCCCCCCCCCCCCCCCCCCCCCCCCCCCCCCCCCCCCCCCCCCCCCCCCCCCCCCCCCCCCCCCCCCCCCCCCCCCCCCCCCCCCCCCCCCCCCCCCCCCCCCCCCCCCCCCCCCCCCCCCCCCCCCCCCCCCCCCCCCCCCCCCCCCCCCCCCCCCCCCCCCCCCCCCCCCCCCCCCCCCCCCCCCCCCCCCCCCCCCCCCCCCCCCCCCCCCCCCCCCCCCCCCCCCCCCCCCCCCCCCCCCCCCCCCCCCCCCCCCCCCCCCCCCCCCCCCCCCCCCCCCCCCCCCCCCCCCCCCCCCCCCCCCCCCCCCCCCCCCCCCCCCCCCCCCCCCCCCCCCCCCCCCCCCCCCCCCCCCCCCCCCCCCCCCCCCCCCCCCCCCCCCCCCCCCCCCCCCCCCCCCCCCCCCCCCCCCCCCCCCCCCCCCCCCCCCCCCCCCCCCCCCCCCCCCCCCCCCCCCCCCCCCCCCCCCCCCCCCCCCCCCCCCCCCCCCCCCCCCCCCCCCCCCCCCCCCCCCCCCCCCCCCCCCCCCCCCCCCCCCCCCCCCCCCCCCCCCCCCCCCCCCCCCCCCCCCCCCCCCCCCCCCCCCCCCCCCCCCCCCCCCCCCCCCCCCCCCCCCCCCCCCCCCCCCCCCCCCCCCCCCCCCCCCCCCCCCCCCCCCCCCCCCCCCCCCCCCCCCCCCCCCCCCCCCCCCCCCCCCCCCCCCCCCCCCCCCCCCCCCCCCCCCCCCCCCCCCCCCCCCCCCCCCCCCCCCCCCCCCCCCCCCCCCCCCCCCCCCCCCCCCCCCCCCCCCCCCCCCCCCCCCCCCCCCCCCCCCCCCCCCCCCCCCCCCCCCCCCCCCCCCCCCCCCCCCCCCCCCCCCCCCCCCCCCCCCCCCCCCCCCCCCCCCCCCCCCCCCCCCCCCCCCCCCCCCCCCCCCCCCCCCCCCCCCCCCCCCCCCCCCCCCCCCCCCCCCCCCCCCCCCCCCCCCCCCCCCCCCCCCCCCCCCCCCCCCCCCCCCCCCCCCCCCCCCCCCCCCCCCCCCCCCCCCCCCCCCCCCCCCCCCCCCCCCCCCCCCCCCCCCCCCCCCCCCCCCCCCCCCCCCCCCCCCCCCCCCCCCCCCCCCCCCCCCCCCCCCCCCCCCCCCCCCCCCCCCCCCCCCCCCCCCCCCCCCCCCCCCCCCCCCCCCCCCCCCCCCCCCCCCCCCCCCCCCCCCCCCCCCCCCCCCCCCCCCCCCCCCCCCCCCCCCCCCCCCCCCCCCCCCCCCCCCCCCCCCCCCCCCCCCCCCCCCCCCCCCCCCCCCCCCCCCCCCCCCCCCCCCCCCCCCCCCCCCCCCCCCCCCCCCCCCCCCCCCCCCCCCCCTTCAAATGCCAGTAGCAGATAACCTGCATTAGGAGACAGGGGAGGAGACTCACCAACAAACAATGGGAGGAGGGAGACACAGGAGGAAGAGAAGCACAAAAAATGCCCACATGACGGTCCAAGGCACAAATAACAATGATATCATTAAAGATTCCAACTGTCGGTATTGCTTTTACTTTGCACAAATGCAAACCACAAGTGTAAGCACAATCACTCAGAATAATTGCTCAAATCAGAGTTTTACGGTACAATGTGTGAAACTGGAGAAGAGCACCACTGTGGGCAAAGAGCACACTGTGGGAGAAGATCACACTGTGGGAGAAGATCACACTGTGGGAGAAGATCACACTGTGGGAGAAGATCACACTGTGGGAGAAGATCACACTGTGGGAGAGGATCACACAGTGGGAGAGGATCACACAGTGGGAGAGGATCACACAGTGGGAGAGGATCACACAGTGGGAGAGGATCACACAGTGGGAGAGGATCACACAGTGGGAGAGGATCACACAGTGGGAGAAGATCACACTGTGGGAGAAGATCACACAGTGGGAGAAGATCACACTGTGGGAGAAGATCACACTGTGGGAGAGGATCACACAGTGGGAGAGGATCACACAGTGGGAGAAGATCACACAGTGGGAGAGGATCACACAGTGGGAGAAGATCACACAGTGGGAGAGGACACCCCGTGACCTGGCAATGGATAAACAGTTAGAAACTGGGTGGAGGGAAATTTAAGGCCAAAATAGTGTGACACAAAGTCACACTTTTAGTGTTTACTTTTAGTGAATTGGAGCCTGAAAGAGTTGGTGCCAAACCTTGTTCAGGAGCACTTTCCTACTGTATAGCCTTCATTGAGCTAGCGTGTTAGCATTGGCCTTCTGTATACACTCTTTGTCTTAAAAGGATCAGGCTTCCATCAAAAAGTGTCATTTTCATATTATTGTCCATCCCCAAACTGTGATTGGTCCCCAAATCCATGCGAACCTTTCATCCTAGGTCCCCTTGTTGTTGTGTAGTTCAAAAGGATTTGTGTGCACACTGCAGCATGCGTGTTCCCCGGCTTCTCTCCCCCAAAATCAACGAGATATGTAGCATCACATTGTTGACAAGAATCCGTTAAGGGCATTGTGCGTTTGGTGTCCTCCGTCTCCGAGTCTGAGTCTCAGCGGCAGAAGAGGGATTTAAAGCTGTGCGGAGCGGTGAACCAGACATGAACCAACGACTTCAAAAGGAACAGCAAAGCCCATTACTCAGTCCATCTCCTCTGAGGCTTGTGATAGTGATACGGCTGCACTCAGAAATGACCCTATCTCTGCCGATATGTGACAACAATACCGCTTTGAATCTACCTCAGTGGGGAAGGGCAATCACTGCATCAGCCTGTCCTTTTCTAATGCCACAGATAAGACATATGTTGAACTGAACACCTGCTAAACCATCCTAACCTAGTCTATCTCTCACAATTATTTATAGATTTTATTTTACATCACTGAAATCCATCACCCAGATTTGCTTCTGCATCAGGCATGTCCAAACTCAGGCTCGTCAACCAAATGCAGTCCTCTGTGTACATTCAGAGTGTCATTCAGCCAACTTCAGCTACACCATTACAGTTATGCTGTAACTTGATGTAAAGCTCAGACCCTTTGGTATCCAGTAACTTTGTATTAACTGACATTTGTTTTTGATTGTTGATTTTTGAATCTAGTAAAAACATTTTTACAATCCATGTTTTGGCTTCTGGACAGGTCTGTGCACTATAGACCTTCTTACTAAAAATGTGGATTCCCTTTCTGCTCATGAATGAAGGCCTCTGATTGGTCAATCCTTACATGGCTCATATCTGGACTCACAAAGACAATATCACAATATAAACACAAGGATCACTGAGAGCACTAAACCCCAGATTTAAGTGAGTGTGACAGAAACGGCTACTGAGCTAAAGGAGTTTACTTTTACATGGAAGTCAATATGAGCCAGAGAGAGAAGCCAAACTTTATCACGAGCTAGCAGGTTAGCATTGTCCATCTGTATACAGCCTGTGTTAACATTGTTCATCTGTATACAGTCTGTGTTAACATTCTTCATATATATATACAGTCTGTTTGCATTGTGGATCAGTGGAGAAGTCACTCATAAGGAAGACCAAGGAGTTTTCCATCGTCATTAAGGAGAACAAATCACTTGTTTTGCTCTTTCCCAAACCTCGCCTCGTCTGTTTATTTCACTGTGACTCTCTTCGTTCACAAGTTTATCACATCTCTTCGTTTGGCCTTGGAGGCTTCTCACTCGCCCACTCTCTGCATTCTGCTCCTCCATCCGCCGCCTTGCACTCTAGGCTCATGTTTGGGATGGATTTATGGAGTGTATGATCCTGAATTTCATTAGTTCCGGTGAGAATGGTCCACTCCAGACTCCAGCCCAGGAAACAGAGGTTTAAGTTTTATCATAAATCTTTGACTGACTACTGGCATTTTTATGGGTCATTTTAGGTCTTAAAATACCTAGCATACACTTCTAAGGAATAAACATTTAAATAAAATTAGTACAGTTACAATTACTATATACAATATACAGGTGCACACATGCTAATAAGGAAGGTCTTGTCATTGTTCTTTGTCGTGTTGCTTCTTTCTTTCATATCTGCATATGAAGGTGTGTCTGGTACTATCTAAAGAAGTTTGCAGTCTTGCCTGGGTCAGATCTGGTTTTGGAACCAAAGACACAGCACTCTCTGCTCTGTCTCTGTTTCAAAAATCACTTCTCGTTGGCAAAGGCGACCAAGTCATAAATAATGCCTGACCATGTCTTTTGTGTATGTGATTTTGTCAGGTAGGACTGTTGGTTAAAACAGAATTAACAGTACCCCAGCTTTAGTCTAACACATTTCTGTTCCCTTGAGATGACCCATGGGTGTCATAGAGTAACTATCTAGACTCTTATTTGTCATCTTTACTGCTTCTCGTCTCGTCCTCCTTCTCTCAGTCTGTAACCCCTGCTTGACCTCTGTTTGCAGCTCATGCCCAGACAGTGCATCAATTCTCTATTTGACAACTACACATGGACGAAGCTGTCGGGATCGGCTCCTCCCTCTGCCCTGGGTCTGTCTGCAGCCTGGTTACACCCTGACGTCAGTGTCTTCATCACTCTGCTGCTCTTCTTCATCATGAAGGTAGGAGTACTCCTGACGGGGGCTTGTGTTTGTGTGAGTGAGTAGTTCTTATTATTCCTATTATAAAATGGCTTCAAGAGCATTCACCAATAGTACAATTGCTTTCACTTCTGTGTGTATGAGCCCTCAATGTTCAAACGCCTGTGAACATAATTCTCAAACCTTAAATGTGACACAAGGAGAGTTAGTCTTTGTTTGATGAAGCTTTTTATTGAAGTTGAGGTCTGATTTGGTCCCAGTAGCACTTACAAAGGTCTAGTTTTCACAGAGACGAATGGACTCTTGATAACTCTGTCAAGAAGTGGCTTGTGGACAATCAGAAATGTGAACAGATGGTTTAAAGTCACAACCATTGATACTTTGCTGTATGGAATACTCTGGTGTTTTGTGTATTGTCCCTCTGATCTTTTATCTGTGCTAATGTATCTATTTTACATATTTTACCACATGTTACATACCCTGTTTTGTTATGTCTCTGTGATGGTGTGTGTCTCTGTGTGGGTATGTATGTGTGTGTCTGTGTGTGCCTGTTGTATGCTTTATCTGTCTTAATATCAACCTGCCATGGGACTACGGATTAAAATTAGTCTACATGGCTAACTCTGGCCCATTTACATGTTAAAAAACACATGTCGATGAATGTGCACTGTCACAATTCAAATAAAGATTTAAAAAAAAATAAAAATGGAGTCTTTAAAGGCCTCAACAGAACATCAGAAAATTGAAATTTGTAAAGTGGGAATTTTAGCGTATCATTGATGCAAATGTTTTTATAAAAACAATAATACTTAACATTCAAACAAACAACATTTAATTTAATTTTAAACAGTATTAGCATTGAAAATAGTTGTATAACATAATTATCCAATGGTGTCATTAGCCGTTTTCACACTGACAAACACACAGGAAATAACCTGTTCCGGAGTGGCATGGACAGGCGTATTAAGGCAAACCGGCAATCGACCCTCCTCGGTCCTTAGTGGGAACATGCTGACCATCGGCTGTATTTCGGCAGCCACCAGTGGAGACGTTGGCGTGGTGTTCCCTCATGGTTTGTCCTTAAAGCCTCAGATGACGAACAAGTCCCTCAGGATTTCTCCTCTCGTCGTTATCAAAACTGTTCTTTAGTTTGGACCAAAAAACGCAGCATCTGTCTGTTCACCATTCTCCTCACTGGCAACAACACATTGGCAATCATATCGCATCATAGCTTCTCTGCTCTCTCTAACAATGACAATACATTCTATCTTTATCTTTATCCTGCAAAGATATTAGCTTATTTTGTCCATGTATTTAAGACCATTTAAAAAGGATGTTGAATTATATAGAAGGTCTTCACTTTATATACCCCTAAGGGAAGCGCTCACTGGGAAGTTCACATTTCTGCCCAAAGCTACACACAATCTAAATAAATCCAAAGTGATGTAAGCATCACTTTCTGCTGCCCCTCAAGTGTAAGGTCCGTATGAGTAACCCTTGACTTTTCCCTGTATTGCACGTGACGTCATGGCTCTTCATTAGCGACATTTACCCCTGCTCGCTCACGTCTCTCCTGAGCCATCGGGACAGCTGCCGCCGCCTCCTCCTCCCCTTTGCCAAGGTCACTGCTCATGGGCATGCAGGCAGGCCCCAGACTCTCCTGTGTGGAGGAGAGATGGGATTCTCTCTGACTCACTTCTTCTTCCATTATTTATTAGGAGAAAACACAATTCATTCCTCTGTACTGCTAAAGGGATCATAGTCTATCCCTGCTTCCTGTTTGTATTTGTGCTGTGGACACATGCAGTTAATCATTTGTGAATCACTACAGAAATGCAGAGAAAACAGTTAATACACAGGGCTCTCTCTTGGTGAAATACAGGACTGAAAATGAAGTGTAATTATATAAAATAAATTACAATCCAATAAAATGCAAAATTCCAGAGCGTAAAACGATCCATGGTATTTGGACAATGGACGGAAAACAAAAATAAGCACAGGGTATAAACACACACAGGGAGGTGCAACCAATCAATGGGCTATATGCACGGGGAGGCGTGATGTAATTTCCTGTTAACAAAGCACAGCCCTTTCACTTCCTGCCTATGCTATCCTATGGCTTTTAGGTGGGTTTTAGTGTCGTTTTTGTAGTAATTAGATTGATACATACAAGCTGTGAGACTGACCCCAAAGTGTCGCTGTGCTTTCTCTTCTGAGGTAGTGCCTTTGACTGTGGGCCACTACTCAGAGCGATTTGTAAACTTTTATAAAGACCACAATGACAGCACAATCAAAGAGCACTGCTGTGTCCCCAAAAAATGCCCAGTATCCTCACAGTTTAAATTGAAGCATTATTAATTTGGGAAACTCCTGTAAACCCACTGCTGAACTACTCCACGTGAAACTCAAGGCCATGCTGCCCGCGAACATCAGGGAGTGAAGTTGGGGTAGTAGCTAAAAACGCGGAAGTGGTGGCGTGCAGAGATCCCAATGAACAGGACAGCCTCAAAGAACCACTATCAAACATAAAGCAAGGTAAAAGTCAGTTCCTCGAAAAGTCCCCACTGTGACAAAATGTCAGGAATGAATCCAGACCAGAGACGAATCGGTGGTGCGCCAATCCTCTGGAAGTTTATTTAAGTTTCTCTCAAGTTCCAGTGGTTTCAATTGTTTCTTTCTCTCAGACAAAATAAAGGCAGTACACAGTTTATATAGTCACTTGTCACGTCACACATCGAAAGACATACGTGTCACACAGAGACAGTGCACATCATAGTCAAAACATGGATACACCATCAGAAGAATCCTTGTATAGTCTTGCAGTTGTCCTCCGTAGGTCAAATCGCTATCTAATCCTAACACAAAGGCAACTCAAAGTGCTGAGCAAAACAACATAGAAACAATCACACAATACATTAAAATCAGTGCATTAAAAGACACACTGGCCTTGAACATGCGATTGAATGATTTGTGTTGGTTCTTCTCTCACAGTGTCCTCTAACCCTAGGTTTGATGTACACTGGCAGAGAAATGTTTCTGAAATGTGCTGTCAGCTCATGAGGATATGAGGGATTCGACACTCGCTCTGACAGTGTGGTGTGGTACTAGAGGTGCAACGGTTCATCACTGATCCGTGATCCGTTCGGTTCAACGTCTTCAGTTCGGTACAGACGTGATCCGCGGTTTGATTTATGAAAAAAAAGTTGTGCGCACGTTGTTCAGTCCACACACAGCGCCGTCATTGCGAGCGGAGGAACGGAGATGCTTGAAAGCCCCGCGTCATTTTAATCCCCTGTATGAGAGCATTTTGGCTTCACTGTAACTACACTGATAATTAATATTCGACAAAACTGTCACGATGTGTAAACACTGTGGCACAAGAAAGACATGAGTGAAAAAAGCGTCTCAACGACCGCTTATTGTCGCGGCATTTAAGCAGCTCCTTTACGCACAGTCAGACCGGGCTAAAGTCAACTCTCCCGCGCATCCTCAGCTGCGCTCACGACTGACGCTTGGACGTCCCGCGGAACCTATAATAGATCCATGAGCGGAACCGCTCACTTCATCACCGCAGACTGGGAGATGAAAAGTCTGGCGCTGCAGACACGCCCCCTCTACGACAGTCACACAGTCACACAGCGCAGGTACTGACACAAGCAGCGGAGGAATGGAAGACAAAGGCCCAGTACTAATATCCCAGTCACAACTGATAATGCCAAAATTAAATAAATGCAGTGAATGAGGCTGGGCCCTGAATGGACCCCCTCCTTGGGAGAATCAGGAAGGTGGTGTAATATATGAGGGTAAATATCCTCATAAAGTGCCTTCTTATGTTGCACTTTGTGTTGTTTTTCATTAATTATGTTAAATAGACATAATTGGATGGATGGAATATGCCTTCCATCCATCCATCCATTTCCTTCCCCTTAATTCATTTCTAGGTCAGGGGGGGGCAGTCAGAGCAGGTGCCGAGTCCACATGAGCTGTGTTTATTAAAAAGACAAAACTTTTTTTTGAAAAATGAACCGAAAAAAAATGAACCGAAACCGTGGCCTCTGAACCGAGGTACGAACCGTACCGTGATTTTTTCAAACCGTTGCACCCCTATGTGGTACTATACAGACCACCAGAAAGTGTTTGTGCCATCAGTTTAGGTGATGCAAGCGTCTGAGATAAGTGGAGGCGCTCTTCTCTGACACAAAAAATTAAACTGTAAATATTCACGGTTATTGCTAAACAGTTCTTTGGATTTGGGGCTTGGGTCGTTCAAACTTTAAATTCCTTAAGGGCTAGCATCACTGTACTGCAGTGGTCTCAAACATGCGGCATGCGACTGCGAGCCAGTCTGGGGCCCCCTAGTGGATATTTAAGTTTAATGACAGTGCAGCCTCCACTGAGAGTCTGCTAATATGTTTTATATAATTTTAAAGCTAATTTTATCACAAAAACAACCACAGCATTTATTTTCCCATAAACCTTCAACACTTAACGCAATAACCAATAATTCAAAGTAATAAACTGCAGATGTCTCTCAGTGAGTGACGTAATTGAAAAACACTATATTTGTGAATAATAGTTAAGTAAAGTACGCAGATACAGTATCTATCTCCCTCCTGTCTATTATTACACTCTCTGCAAGATACTGTGAGATCTTCTCTGTCAATCTGTCAGCCTCAGAAACAGGGTGACCACATTCTCAAACTCAGACTTCATTGTTTGAGTTTGGAGCTAAAACGAGCCTCAAGCTGCTGTGGCCTCCTGTTCACTGTCTCTGCTCCAGCTCTGATCCCACTGAGGGGAAACTGGTTTATCAATGGTTTTATCAGTCTTTTTTTACTTGTATTATTCTTAGCGAGCCACACTTTTCAGTTTTACTTATTCAAAAACAATCCTGCTTTGTTTTAGTCTTAAAACCTCTTTATAATTATGGTTGTATAGGTGTATCAGTTCTTTTACAAATCATTGTATGTTCACGTCGTTGTGGGGAACGTCCTCCACCAATCACATAAGTGTATGAATAA